TTCTCTTTCCTAATATCTACAATATAAACGCACTCTGCATCTCTTCTTTTGTGACTAATTGTGTCTTGAACAAGTAAAATCTTAAATTTGGGTGCCTCCCTGTTTGTATACAACGAAAAAGGGTATCATTTCAGTGCGCCCTTCTTGCCCGCCCCGCCCTGGCCTCCCCCTTCCCCCCCCCTCCTGTCGCTACCGATTCACTTTCGGTCGGTGATGTACTCCTTCTATCTATTCCTAATAGGCCATATCCTCCTTCCATGGGTGTGAGATGTATTGTATATAATGTATGTATATGTGTGCGTTTGTGAGTTTGCGTATGTGTGTGTCGATGTGTGTAAAAAAACGTAGAAGACGCAAGGGACATGTATGCCCATCCATCTTCATTGATGCCATTGACCAGCGAAGAGGGAATAAATAAGGCATCTCCCTTGTTGTCGTCAAGTTGCATTGTTTCCCTTTCTGGCTTGCTTGCTGTGTCCTGTGAGAGATCGATATCGCCGCCTGCCATATCGCTCCCTCATCGCCCTCCTTGTCGGCCGCCTCGAGAGACTTGTCCTCTCTGCCATTTGCCTCATCACGTGAATTTCGTGTGAATGATGTCGGGGTTCTCGTGCCAATCGTCGATACTGACCCACATCTGTATTTTCGTTAGCAACAAGTCATGGACGGCAACCTCAAAATTCTGTTTCCCGTGAAACCTGGGACTTGGCCTACCTTGCGGAACGTGCTCAGACCGGCCAGAATACTGCCGCCGATCCACGTCGTATACTTGCGCTCCGGCGGCGCAAAGATCTTGATCCGCATGTCCTTGACCGCAATCTTGCGGATCTCGTGCAGCAGCCGGTCACCGAAGCCCTTGGTCAAAGTCGTACCGCCCGACAACACAATGTTGGCATACAACGACTTGCGCAGGTCGAGGTCTGTCCGCACAATCGCATCCACAACCATCTGGTGCACGCCAGGGTACTCGAGACCGATAATCTCCGGGTCGAACAGGATCTCGGGCGCACGGAACCGCTCGGGGCCGACCTTGAGCTTGTTGCCGTCGGGCAGCACAAACTCGGCCGTCTTTTTGGGGTCCGACTTGGTCGTCATGTAGTCTTTCTCCTCTTTCTTGGGGTCCACGGCAATGTAGCTCGTCGCCTCCTTGATGTGCCGCACCACCTCCTTCTCCGCGCTCGTGTGGAACACATAACCCGTTTTCCGCAGCAGCGTCTGCAGGTACTCGGTCACATCGCGGCCCGCCACGTCGATCCGCTGGATCGAGTTGGTAATGGCGAAGCCCTCGTACACGGGCACCGCGTGGCTCACGCCGTCGCCCGCATCCAGCACAATGCCCGTCGTCCGCCCGCTCGCGTACAGCGACAGCACCGCTTGGATCGACGTGTAGAGCGCCGGCACGTTGAACGTCTCGAACAAAATCTGCGCGGCCGTGTCACGGTTGCTGCGCGGGTTGAGTGGCGGCTCCGTCAGCAGTACGGGGTGCTCCTCGCTCAGCACTTTGAGGCCCTCGTCGTAGATATACGCCCAAATCTTTTCCATGTCGTCCCAATCCGTGACGATGCCGTGTTCGAGCGGGTAGTTGATCTTCAAGAGGCCGCGCAGCTCAGTGGCCGCACGCGGGCCGACGAACCAGTCACCCTCGAGGGCGCCGGCGAGCACGCGCAGATGCTTGGGGCGGCCGACAAACGAGGGGAAGTAGCACTTGGGCAGGTCCTCGCCAGCAAAGCCTGCGCGGATGGTCCCTGAGCCATTGTCAATGACCATCGGGATGTTGTGTAGACTTTCCGCCATAGTTGCGGATGTGTATGTGTTTGTATTGTGTGACCGACGGAGGCGGGAAGAGTCGACGGAGTGTTGCAGATGGAGGAAGATCCGGATGCTCAAGAGGCGACTAGCGCGGCGCGTCTGCTCCTCTGTTTGTTCGAGGGCGGGGTGGGCCAGCCGAGGTCGTCGTTGAGCCCGTCAAGGTCGTCAAGAACGTCGAGATAATAGGTCGATAGCAGTGCCAGTTAGCCGTGACGGCCACGGGGCATTGTCTTGCTTTATCCGGGAGAAAGTAGTCAGGAGAATGAGAAAACTAAATACGCTGGCCGCAACAGTATGAATAGCAAACGAAATCGTAAACGGGCTTGCGCTCGCTACCGCTGTTTCAAGACGTCGCTATGTCGCTTATTCGGCAGTTGGCCGTCGTCAAGAGGATATGTCGTCGTGCGGAGGTCGTCGCTGTCTCGCAAAAGGAGAGCTCTCTGTCTCTCCTGGGCCCTCCAAAATTACATGCAGACACGGACGCGCCAGAACAGCACACCAAGGGGCGTGCCTTGCGCTAGTCTGTATTTGCACTAGTTTATTGTTTTGTCGAGGTAAGAGCACGGACCACGCTAGTTTTTGTGTTCTCAAACAACTTCCCCAGAGTTAAGTGTGGCGCAGATAATTGTGGCGTCACCTACGGAAGGCTCCTCCCTTGACTTATAGCGAACAGAAACACGGCTAAGATTCCGACAACTTGGTCGGCAATTTTTATGTAATTTGGTTTTTGTTCCCGAAGCTCATAGTTGTCATACGTTTTCGAGTTTGATGTGTGTATTTCGACAGAAGAATGATGAAAGCTAGGAAAGACGTTGATGCCTCGAGATAGCATGTGTCGCTTCGAGGGAACTCGACGAAAATAAAGGAAAATTATAAAACGCCACCTCTCGAAAAATATAAATACAAAATGTGCTTCTCTATGGAAATCTCAAAAAAATATCGTAAACACTCGTTTAGTGGACATGGCCATCGAGGCCCTTCTTGGCGATCATCGGCCAGCCCAGGATGGTAAAGGCGACAGGGAAGTAGCTAGAGCGAGGTGTTAGTGGGAGTAAACAATGGGGATTGATTCTTTTGATATTATGTGGCAGCTGGGATGGACATACATAGCAATGGTCTTGCCACTCCGCTTGATTAGACGACCGTAGTCGGGAGCCTGGGCGTCACCGGCAACGGGTAGGCGCTGGAAGACATGGGGCTCAAAAGACCGAGCGAAGCTGCGCAGGGACCGCACCACCGAGAACTGGCGGCGGCCGGTAGCGGCAGCATTGCGGATGGCAGCGCGGGCGATGACGGGAGACATGGCGAAGGTGGAGGAGGTAGTAGTTGGTGTTGCCAAAATAAAAGCTGGTTATAACACCGAGTGGTGATGTGTTGATTAGATGAAGAGTGTTGAGAGGATGAAATGATCTGACCAGAAGGCTGACGATGCAATAAAGAGAAATAAAACATAAAAATGAGAGAAGGAAGGAGGATAGCTGAGGTGTCTTTATATGTGAGGGCAATACGGAGACTTGGCATATGGGATATAATTCAGGACAGGACTAGAAGCAAAGGGCAAATTATGACGGCCAAGTAATTGTAATCCTTCTCCTTATTGCACGCCTTCATCATGGCCAGGCAGCGACTCTAGCCCAATGCCCAAGCGCCCATCTAGTCATGTCGGTGTTCGTTCCATTGGCATCTCGTCTTCGCCGTCCCAGTCCGACATTTGACCGTCTGCAGCGTATTGGCCAGCGAGTTCCATAGCATTACGATGTACTTGTTCAGATGGAGCAAGTTGACGAAACTCGAGAATGCCAGTGAAGGAGAAAACAAAAAGAAAGGCGTCAAATGACCAATATTCAATTGGAGAAGGACGCTTCGGGAGTCTCTCTGTAGATCTACTCCATCATGCCATTCTGGATGATAAACGTGAGATGACTAGGGAAAAGTAGGGGAGCTCATTGTGCGAATCCGCGAACCGGTGAATAACGGTCTAGCTAACGTACGCGGCGAGAGAACAAAGAATAGCTGTCTATGGAATGGGCAGGGATTCGCAGGGCTGAGTGTCCCCCAAAAATCATATTCCCGGTCGTAAATGTAAACTTTGCGGGCACCGGGAATAGCAGAGGGACGGGATCTACCCGGGTTTGGTCAGTCCGCTTTTGAGCTCGACTAAACCATTTTTCGGGGGAGTGGCACCACCGTGAGGCACTGCATTGTGCCCTAGTGGCACCACTAACAAGCCCAAGTGGCACGATGACTGCTGACAGTGGCCGGCTGTTTCCGACCAATGGAGAGGCCAATTTGGCAGGTTCAACGTTGGCAACTGCCATTTGCCCGTTTCCTTTGACGGGCTGTGCCTGCCTTATCGCCACTTCCAGACGAGTCCGTTTTTTTAACTTTTCCAGAGCCTTGGGGGAAGGAGGGCAAGATGGCATTGTTGATTGCTGTCGGTTTGTTCCTTCCATTTCCGTGCATGCCCTGACTTGTGTCACATGATAATCAAAGATGGGAATTGTAGAAATATTGAAACAGTAGGTACGACTGTCTCGTAAGCATATGTCGAGTAATATCGACCCAGATCTTGTTTTCAATACCTCCCTCCTCCATCGCACCGGGAGGATATCTACGTCCAAAGCACGGTGACAATAGAGCATGCAAGAACAACTATCAATTATTGACGACCTCCCTCCCGTACCTTCTCGTTTTCCAGTCACACCAAGACACATTCCTCCATATGTCCAGCGTCAAGATGCGCAACGATACACGAGCGCTGCCGACGACAGCGCGTCTTTTTGTGCGGACATAAAATCGAGGCCGGTGAAATAACGTTCAGCGTTGGCCGTCTTGGAAAGTATTCGATCACATCGGCGCGGTCCTACTCACGGACGCCTTATATGCAGCTTTTCCGTACCGCGACCCTCCAAAGTGTCAAGGGCTTGGATTGGACGTATTTATGGCGAAAGCGAAAACGACAAGACAGAGGGTATGCAGGAAGCCAGCAGGACCAATGGCAGTCCTGGGGTCACTTGTGCAACCGCAGCGTGTTTCTACTGTTATTTTTTGTATTCCTCTTCTGTCTTTCCTTGGAGCTGCAAGGTGGCTAACGGCCTGTTACCCTTTTGATATGACAAACATTGTAGTTTTCTATCCAACCCGTACTATCATCGTCTTCCAAAACTCGTCTCCTGTACTCTGTCTCTCCATTATACGTTTACCCCCGACCTGGCGCCGAGACCCATGATTTTCCAGCAAACTGACAGAGAGTCAGTATGAATAGTTTTGACACGAGGTAAGCTTACATATATAACGGAAGGAAGATGCAACTCACTCTCGAAACCAACATCCTCGGCAAAGTATCGGTCGGCCACATCTTTGCCAAACTGAAGCTCGCCACCAGTCTGGAAAGCGAGGGCATTGTGGCCCAGGGCGATGGCAATCATAGCTGGAACGGGCTTAAGGGTCTGGTACTGGGGAGGGGCGCCAAAGACCAGCTCCCGCATGCGCTCGTGGGCGTTGCGGGCCATATAGTAGCCCATGTGCATAGCGCCGCCACAGCGCTTGATGCCGGACCACTTGACAATGTCGCCGCCAGCCAACGCGCAGTCATAGTTGGGAACCTCGGGGGGGAAGAAGAGGCTGGAGAGTCAGCGCGTGAAGAAGGCCATATATCGATGCGTCTCACTTGGGGTGAAGGGTCTCACTTTGGCTGGATCTTGATGTAGCCTTCCTCGTTGAGGGCTGCGGCAGGCAGGAAGCTCGTAGACGGCTGGCTCTTGGAGATGGCGAACACGACGGCATTGACACGTAGAGTGTGGCCATTAGTGAAGACGACCTCCTTGACACCTCCGTCGAGCTCGCGCGTCTCCTGCAGACGGTGCTCCAACACTACCCCCACACCGTTCTCTTTCAAAATGTCCAGCGTCTTTTCGGCCAGGTTATCGGGCAGCGGCTCCGACGACAGGAGACGCGACCGTGAATGGGCCAGGGTGACTTTGACGTGGGGCTGTGCCAACTTGAGCTCGGCGGCCATCTCGATGCCGACAGCACCGCCGCCGACAACAAGCACGCCATCCTGGGCTGTTGACACGGCTTCAATGTGCGGGTTTACCTCGGCGAGGTACGAGGCTTTGTCGGGCGACTGAGGCACGACGGGGAACGCACGGCGCAGACCCGCGGCGACAATGATGAAGTCAAAACTAACAGTACTGGTGGCGCCGCCGGCTGCCGCCGCCGCAGCAATGGTGGCAGTCTTGCTAGCCATTTCGACGCTGGTAACGCTGCCGTGGATGGTCTTGATGTTGGGAGACGTCTGTAGCGCGAGGATGTCCTTGTACAGGACCCAGGCCTTGTCCGCGTAGACCTTGTTGGCGAAAACGAGAGGGGAGCCAATAAGGTGGTCTAGGGTGTTAGTAGGGATCGAGTTCGCTTCATTGCGCTCCAGAAATGGAACCTACAAAAACCATCACGTTCGTCAACAATCGTGATCTCAGCGTGGATGGGCTCAGTCTCCTCTGGGAAGGCTGTGTTGGGGTTAGTCTACTGTTGAGTCTAGAGTGCCCCTTCACCAGATCTGTCTTTACCATCTTGGCCAACGTAGCCGGCAGCAGCATGCGCTGCCTTGCCGAGACACAGATCGGACAGGTTGAGGGCGGCGGCCAATCCGCCATAGGAACCGCCCACAACCAGTATCTTGAAAGGTGCCGAAGCGTCGTTGGTATGCAATGCTGAGCCCATTTGGGTTGTGGTAGAAGCCGACGAATACGATCTAGCCTGTATGCCGCTGCTGGCGCGGAATGAACGGCCCTGCGAGGCCAAAGACCGCGAGGTTAAGCGTGGTAAGGACAAATTTGTACGTACGGCCGAGGTGGTGTATACGACGTCTACCAAGAGAGCTTCGATGGATGAACGTGCGAGAGAAGACTTGGTGGTGGTTGTCGCCTTAGTGTAAATGGAACGAAGACAAGGAGTAGACAGAGACATAATGGACGGAAGGGAAAGGGGCTGGCGCCGGTTTAAGAGAGCCGTAGGAGGACGACCCGCACAAGAGGAGAACCAATAATGACGAAGAGACAGACAGCGCGGCGCTGGCGTGTCGGCAACGGCCCAGTGAGGTGCAGCTCGTGTCCGGCGTGATAGTGAGGAGGAAGATTGTACCAGGGCAAGGTGTTGTGGTGGGTCAATAGATTGATAAGATCGCTTAAAGTAGCACCTGCGCTGTTGGTCGTGCCTGCTGCCGGTCTCGCTGGGTCCGCTCCTGCCAGCAATACCCACAAGGTTGACTTGGCATGAGTCTGTAGACCAGAGCAAACCCGACGATCCCGTCGAAGCAGCTGGTGGGAGGTGTGCAAAGTACGGCAAAGTGGCAGTGGAAGACGGTGCGAGGGAGTAACCAGCGCTGATGCGAGGCAAGGCAAGCAACGACATTGAGGCCGACACAGTTTTCTGGACAAGAAGAAAAGACAACGGCACGATCACCAGCCGAGTGCAGGCAGCAGGACGTTCTGTTCTCTGGGCAGGAAAGAGACGAGGTGACAACAAAGGGCGGGCAAGAGGCAGTCGTGGCGGCTCTCGGTCTCGTCTCGCAGGCAAGGCTATCTAGACGCATTCCGCCTTTGTATACTCGGACTGCGATCGGCGGATGCTAAGTGTGAGCCGGGATACACATGCAGGGTCGATGTAGGTACTGGATAGGTGGGTGGGCATAGAAACGAGACATAAGAACGTGTATGAAGAAATGCGTTTTTGAACGTGCCTTCGGAGAATACTCGAACCGTGAATATCCCGCGGAGCAGATGCGGTTTTTGGCAGCTCGCTCTTCCGGTAACTGACCGTTTCTCCGAACAGGAAAGCGCGTTAAAACCGAGACAAACTCGATGCTAAAAGGCATTACTTTCCGTTTACAGATGTAAGTGGGTTTGTCCAAGAGATGCTCTTGCCAGAGACAAAATAGCCGCAAAAGGGCGTGCAACGATGCGTCCAAAATAAATAAATAAATGATCACGAAACGCGAGCAGAGTCTATCTACATAATGAGTTGTCAAGCACACCTTCTTGGATGGGCCGATGTGCCTGTCGTGGATGTCTTGGAAGCCCGGTATTTGACAGATATTAATGTGAACCCGCGTCGCTCCTGCTTGTCCGAATAAAAGCGGGGAGCTTCGATCTGATAAAATGCGTGTGGCAGGTCGACCATAAAGTAGCACTAAATCTTAGATATTTAGCACGACAACCACTGAAGCAGTAGCACTGTCGTGCCCCAGGTCCCTGTAAGCCGCTACTCTTTACCTCCCCACCATAACCTCTGATAGCTTGCGATAGGCAACGGCGTGCACTCGACATTTGACGGAGGTTTGTAGCTCCCACGTCAAGGATGGGAAGAGTTTGATCAAAAGGAGGAATTACGCTGAGACAAAACAATGAGTTGCAGTAAGAAACAGAAAGGAGTCACAGGAGAGGCAAAACAACAAAAGGGAAATAATAATTGCCAGTCAGGATGCACGGCTTAATTTGCTGGAAGTTTTGTGGCAAAAGACGAAAATGGCATAGAATGCGCATAGCAGTCACATTAATCACGGATTCAGTTGTCTTGTCCCTTCTGACCGGTCAGATGCGCCCTCGGCCTCGCTTTACAGGCTCTTTCGTTCGTCCGTATATGCGAACCGGCGCCGCTCGGTGGTTACGGAATGCAGTGTCCTCATCGCGGAGATACAACGTTTGTAAGACAGGCATGGAGAGAGCAAAAGTCGGCCTAGACTCCTTCCTTAATACTGTTCTTTACTACAAGCCCGTGAGAGCGGTATACTTTCTCCCCGGGTTTCTGCCCGTGCTCTAACGAAGGTACCGGATATGTCAGCATGGCTGATGAAGGGGGAAATGGTTGACACAAGCGTAAGTATACGCTCCTTCCTCCAGGCGACGTCGTATCAAAAAAGGAGATGCATATGACGGATCAGTAAGATGTGGAAATGGCTTTCACTGCGTAGCAATCTCGGTCATCCAACGGCTCATCTTACTAGCAGGTGCACACTACCGTGTTCGCACGAATCGAATCTCGTCTGTTCTGGTGTATGAAGTAAGATGCATTTATAGTTTCGCCAGTTATGTATCGCCCTCTATCCTGCTCTCGGGGGTATCAGACCAAATCCGTCCATGTATAGGTCCAACAACGCACACCTGTTTAAGAGACTCTGCTGCACATTCAAGGTGACCGCGTCACCAGTGTGCCTTCTGCCGGCTCCAGCAACTGCCACTTGCACTGGATGCCCTGCTTCTTAAATCGCCCAATGATCTCCTCCGCAATCTCGTCAAAGTGGTCCGTCGCCAGCGCCAGGATCGTCGGGCCCGCACCCGACAAGCACACGCCCAGCAGACCGGGCTGCGAGCTCGGCGTCATCGATTCGACAATCTCGGTGAGACCGGGGATCAGCGTCTGTCGATACGGCTGGTGCAGCTTGTCCTGCATGGCCAGGTAGATCAAGTTCGGGTCGGGCGGCGACTGGCCCAGCGCCACAGGTAGCAGTGCTATCCGCTGGAGGTTGAAGGTCTGTTGAACCGCTGTCAGCTTTGCTTTTCTCGTCCTCGCTTCGCTCGCTTCTTTGTTTTTCTTTTTCCCCGCTCGGCTATTTCCTCCACCTTCTCCTCCTCCTCCGTCAACCCAATTCGGTCTTTCGTTTGTGACTTACCACGTCCGCACGGGGATACTCCGCCGGCAGCACCTCGCGCGCCTTGGCTGTGGCCACCTCAAAATCGGGGATGATCGCCACCGCCTTGATTGTCGGCGACCACGGGAACTTGATGTGGTGGCCGATCCCCAGCGGCGGGGCTGGTGGCTGGTCGCCCGTGTCCACGCCGCCTGCCGGCGACGGCAGCACTTCGCTCAGCGGAATCTCCTTGCGTGCGACGTCCTCCGGCTTCAGCGGGTTCAGGTACGTGCCCACAAACCCGCCAAACAGCGCCGCGCCCACATTGTCCGGGTGCCGTTCAATCATCAGACAAAAATCAAACAGACGTGCCGGCGTCAGGTCGTGCAGGCCGCCCACCTCCTTGCCCAGCATCACGCCCGCCACCACGGCCGCACCCGACGAGCCCAGTCCGCGGCCCAGCGGGATCGGATTCTTGATGTGCACGTGCGTCTCCGCGGGGAAGCTGCGCTGGTTGTGGCAGCGGAGCACGTAGAGCGCGACGCGGGTGACCAGGTTCGCATCCGGGTCCAGGGACACCGATCCCTCGCCGTCGCCCTCGTACGTGATGCGGCAATTGAGCGGCGCCGTAGACGGCGACTTGGAGCGGTCAATGGTGACGTGCAGCTCGAGGTAAAGGGAGAGCGCGAGGCCGATGACGTCGAAGCCAGGGCCAATATTGGCCGACGACGCCGGCGTGCGGATCACAAAAGATTCGGTGGCCATTATGAGGGTGGGGGGAGTAGTAGAAACGGTGGCAGGGTGTGGGAGTACAGCTCGAGGTGGTACGTCGTGCTCCGTAGATGTCGAGCTATCGTTTTGGATCGGAGGAGGAGAATGCCGTTGCTGCAAGGGAGGCCAGTCGGTGGCGATGGCCAGCTGCTGTCGTCTAATTGAGTCGAATTGGGTCGTTTGTAAGAAGTTGTCAGTTGACGCCCGTGTCCGTTATCGCGTGGCTACCAAAAAAATCCGCGCTTTCGGTCGGCGTCTGGAGACCTTTGCGTGTGACTCGGCCACTTAGGCGCTTTTTTTTTCTCGTGTGCTCTTTCCCCCCTTTGGTTTCCCCCCTTTGGCTTGCACCGATCGCGGAGCTATGCTTGTTTGGGCACCTAGCAGGCATTAACAAATCTGCTTGACAAAGAGGACAGGAGCATGCCTGGACGTGTACGTTTGCATTACCGGTTTCTTTTTTCATTGTTCCCTTTTCTTGTATGCTAGATTTTTTTATACATTTGCTAGCCAATACTTTTTTTTTATATGCATCAAAATAAACCATTTATTCAGTTAGAAAAAAAAACATAAGCAACGAAACAAACGACTCGCGTGGTGCAGAAAGCTAGACGTCACTGAAGACAGAGCGACCTTTACGAACAGAAGCTTAACATACACCGAGGTGTTCTTGGTTATATCACGGACAGGATGGCTGATATCTTTCTATCACAGCATCTTTTGCACATTTCCGTGGCGACCACATGACACAAAATAGATGTATGCCCATTTTTCTGTGTCTTGCAGACATCAACATTTGTTTTTCAAGAACGAGAGAGCTGTACTAATCTTCTGGAATAACACACTTCCGTAGCAGACATGAGGGCCTGGTGTCTGTTCCCAAATAATTACTATACGGTTTGCGTAATATCGAGTATATGTAGCGAAAAGAGGGGCCGGAGAACTCATCAGCGCAAACAACAAGAGCAACTTGGCGCAGCGGAAGCGCGCCGGGCTCATAACCCGGAGGTCCCTTGATCGAAACGAGGAGTTGCTAAAGGATGGTTGTTTGAGCACGTCGTTTTAGTTGACTTTTTGCGTTGTCCTTCGTTCTGACAATGTCTGACCGTCCTTCCATTTTTTTTTAAACATTTCCTATTTTCAAGTCTGACTTTTATCTCATCATGTTCGCGTCAGCTCCAAGAACGCCTGGCTCTCTACAACTACCTTTACTGCTTTGTCCTGATGTCATCTCGACAACAAATGTGGCTGGGTCTCGCTACTTCTTACAAGTATTCGATTGCCTCTAGCCTTTTCGTGCAAAACAGCATTCAGAAACAGACTCGCTGGTTAGTTTACTGTGACCGTCGGCTACCGTCCCGTTGTCTCACGCAGATAGATGACAGCTCGTGCAGTTGAGAGGCAGTGGGTAGCGCGGACAAGGCAGGCATAAACGAGCTCATACCTTGTCGGAACACGAAACCCGATGCCCGGAGTAGAACGATCGCAAGTACGGCCGGAGTACGCAGAGGGGAACCTGCACAAGCCTCGTCACTGACGTGACTTTTATCAGGCAACCGCATTCATCTTCACGACATTTTATTGTGGGACTACGACTGCATTGTAGAGAAGGCCTGGTTGTTCCGAGAAAGGCAGAGGCAAAGAGCTAATGGCACCAGAAAGAGCCACAAAGGAGGACGAGATGCACTCACCGAGTTAAGCTTGCTCGACCTGCATGCTACGAAGAGCACCAGTGAGAGCAGAAAAGCATGATACGAACCAGAGATCACAGTTCTCCGTGAACCAATCGAAGCAGAGTATGGGGATATGCATTTCGATCGCCCGTCCACTGGAAGGCGACCCAAGGTATATTCCCTGCTTTACTGTGCCAGCTTGCATTTATTGGCTGGACGGCGAACACGCTTAAAGTCGAACTAGACGGGGGCGGTGCATAAAGAACGCCCGTAACCATTCTATGAGATTGTCTTTTTGCCTCGCCGTAGTACGGAGTTGGCCTCGTGATCTTGCTCAAGCGCAAATGGATATACTGCACTACTGGTTGTGAAGGCTGCCTCTTTGGCGGCTGTTGCATTTTCGCTGGTGGCGATTTCGTGTGCTAAATATAACACACGCCACAATGACTTTCCTTTTACGTGCCTGACTTGCGCCACTTCTCTGGCATCTGGCAGTTGTCTCCAAACTGCCTGTGGCTTGCGCTAAAGATCCCCACAGTCTCAAGCCAATGTGCGCGGGCAAATTCGAGGGTAATGGCCTCACAACAGCGCATAAGCCTGCACCTGCGATGTATCTATCTTACGCTTATCTCTGGTTTTCTTTGGCCCTCCTTGCAAGCCCCTGGTAATGTCTGCCAGTTGTCGCTCCCCATTTCCGGTTACAGGGGATAATGTCGGCGATCTGCAGCGCATGGGCACAAAACGCGCAAGGGCGTCTGAGTTTAATCCGTCGCAACTGCTTTTTTGACGGGGAAAAAGTGGCGTCGGTGCCTTATTGTAGGCAGTTCAGGGTCCTCTTGCCAATTCCATGATATGACAAGTGTACACACATAGCAATTACTTCGTATGCCCAGTGCTTGTCAAGATGTATAGCAACGGGGAAAGAAAGTATCAGGGAACAAACCAAGAACGGTAAAATGGAGGCAGCCAGGGGTCGTCAGTGGCAGCCGCTTGACCGTTGCGCTTTGGGCCTGGCAGCGGGTGTTTCGTCCATTCCGCCAGATCCTCCAAGTCGCATGTTGTATGTGTGTATGTCGTACCTGCGCCTGGCCAATCGTCGCGAGTGGCTACGTCACTCAAGGCAAGGAAATGGAAATAAAAAAGAGACTTGCTGCGACCAACTCCCGCCGCCCCTAACTTGAAACATTGCACTGATTTCATTTTTAGACCAGGCCGGATTCCTAGGCCCCACAAGCGCTTCCTCCTGGCGCGCACTTTCCCGCAATCGTCACTTCCACTTCTGTAACTGGGAGACTGGATATCGCAATAGTACAGAAGTAGAGGCAGGCACCTCTCTTGCAATTTCCTGCCCTTTCCTGCCCCTTTCGCATGCTGGCGAAAGCGTTGCGCTGCAGAAGAAAAAGAGCAGAGGCCTCTTAAATCAGTGACTATGCACACCGTCCTCTTAAGGACGTTGAAACCAAAAGTAGCATGCTGAACCACCTGCAGACTGACCCGTCGCCAAGGCATATTTTGCCTTCGAAAAAAGGGAGGCTCAGCATCCCGAGTATCAGACATCCAGCCAAGAAAGGGCATGAGCGAGCTTGTTCAAGTTTTCCACAAAGAGGCAAAATTCTTCCCTCGGACGCTCCTCCCTCGCCCTTTTGCATCGTGACAAAGTGGCTCCTTCCCCGGATTCGTTACTGTCTCTTTGTTGTCCCTTGCTCAGTGTCTACCCTTATCCTCCCTGTTGCGTCGAACCAACTTTTGTTGAAGATTCTCTCCTCAATTTATTCGTCGCTTCTTCTGAATCGCTTCTTATTCTTGTACGCCATACACCCCTGCAACCCGCGACGGAACCTGGCTACCACCCACCCCGGTCATCTCCTGCACTGTGTTTCCGCCATCTCCTGCAGCACCAACAATCCCCCATAAACGTGAAACGTCCCTCGTTCAGACCTGCACGTTTCCGACAAATCAGAGCCTTTTTGCTTGAGTTTCTCGCATCGCCTACGCTTGTGAAGCAGGGCCACGTCCTCCGCTATTCTTACAATTTCCACAGCTGCTTACAGGTCTTACAACCCTTACAGCCGGTGAGCGACTGCGCCGTAAAACAGGTCAGCAAGCCTCACGCTCTCTCTGCCCCTGGTGAATCCTCTCAGGTACCGACGTGAGAAGAAACTCCTGTTGTTGACCGTTTTCGTCGCCCCAGCAGGAGACACGCCAAGTGGGTACAAGAGGACCCCGAAAACATCAAGTGAAGCTCGAGGAGGAGAGAAACTCGGCTAGAAAACGGCACCAGCCAGAGGCAAAACAATATTAAAAGATACGCCAGGAGACGCCAGACGGTGCCGTCCACAACTAAAAACTGGAAAAGGGGAAAATACACCAACAACAAGACGCACTGAGAGGATAGTATGACTGCATTTGAGTGATACGTTCGATAAACGGTCTCAATGCTAAACGGTTTGCGGCGACGCAATTAAGCAAAAACCCAAAAATAAGGGGCTACGGGGACCCATCAAAAACCAGCTTTGGAGCCAGCCTAGCATTCGTGCCAAGCACAGAGCCGCCAAGGGGGCCACAGGAGGACCACCCTCGAGAATTTCAAACACGAAACACATTCCAACCATTGCCGCGCCCTTCCTCGTCCTGTCCAAGTCTCCCTGTACTTACCATCCCCGGCCGCGTGGAGGCAAAGGATCAGCACTACCATCGTTGTCTGTGGTTGCGATCGCATACTCCGTCTTCCGCTCCCTTTCTCTCCTTTTCTTTTCAACTGCTCTTCGACTCTCCCTCCTGCGCTCCCTCCCGCGACCAACAGCTGCGACGCGACGTACTGACACCCCCCCTTTCAACTATAACGACGACTTCAACTATCACTGTTGTATCCGTCACGCATACTGCGCGCTGCCCCCGGACACACACCCGTGGTTTGCAATTCCGTGAACCATGGCCTACAACCGAATAGGTATGTTTTTCTGATATTCATGCCATCCTATCACTGCGCTTCCCCTGCTTGCCTATCCCGGTGATCGTCACAGCCCGACAGACAGGCATAATCTTATTCTCTCTGGCCCTCCCTTCTCTTGTGTTTCTTGTCCTTTACCCTTCTCCTCTCTCCGTTTTATTTTTCGGCTCTTTGCTGTCTTCCTCCTTCCCAACATTGTGGCCAATATCACTTGCTCTTTTCACCCGGCCATTGAACCTCCCTCCGCCGCATACAGCAACAACTCTTTGTTGCGCACAGCATATTAGATAGTTCGCCGGATAAAGTGAACGTCAGAAACAGATATTCGAGAACAGAGGACAGAGAACAAACAGCATCTGGACTCTACGGCACTGGTTGCCTCTCTCCCTCTTGCGCTCGCCTATCTTCTTCCCTTTTCGCCTACTATCATACTTTCTTCGCCCCATTCTCTCTACTTGTTTAGTTTCTCCTTGTGCCACGTTTCGGGAAGCTGGCCGACCTTTCTGTGAGAGCGTCATATACTCATATTTTGTTTCCCTCTTGCTTCTCCTTCTAGACGACGGTTACTACGACCACCAGATGGATCCCCGGAGCCATCGCACGCCCTCTCCGGGCAACCCCCTTCAGCATGGCTACCAGCTGGATGACAACCCGCATGGCCGCCATCCCATGGGGCAGAACCTCGACGTCCAAAGTGTCCCGTCGATGGGCCGCTTCAGCCCCGGCGACTCATTAGATATGCACCCAGCGGTAGGTTCCCTCTGTCATTAAGGGGCGGCAGCATTGGCTTCTCTGAGCCTCCGTATACTAACTTGCTTCGCGCCACAGCACTCGATCGATAACCTGGGCTCGACTTCGAACTTTGATCAGCCACACCACGGCGCTGGCGACTTCCACGGCGGCAGCGAATACGGGATTAACCCCGAACAGCATCACGATGCTTACTACAACCAGCCGTACGAACCGGCTCAGCACGATGGACACGGCGCCGGCGGCTACGAACCAGGGTACGAACCGGGATACGACAACGATGGCAGACCGCTCCTGCACCACCAGGATTCCTATGCGGCCAGCAACGTCGGTGGCGGCTACGAAGACCCCATGATGCAGCAACAACAACAACAACAAGACCAAATGCAACAACGGCAACAACAAGGAGGCATGGGCGGCGGAGGCATCAAACGGTGGAAGACGGTCAAGCAGGTGCTTCTGTACCGCGGCAACTTGGTCCTCGACTGTCCCGTTCCGCCACTTCTCCTGAACCAGGTACCCCACGGTGAGCGTGACGAGTTCACCCACATGCGCTACACGGCTGCCACCTGCGATCCGTCGACCTTTTACGAAGAGAACTTTACCCTGCGCCAGCGCCTTTTCAGCAAGCCCAGACAGACCGAGCTTTTCATTGTCATCACCATGTACAACGAAGACGAGATTTTGTTCGCTCGCACCATGGTCGGTGTGCTCAAGAATGTCGAGTACATGTGCAAGCGCAATGAGAGTAAGACCTGGGGAAAGGATGCCTGGAAGAAGATTGTCGTCTGCGTCGTCAGCGATGGTCGTGCCAAGATCAACCCGCGTACGCGCGCTCTGCTTGCTGGTATGGGCGTCTACCAAGAGGGTATTGCCAAGCAACAGGTCAACGGCAAAGATGTGACGGCCCACATCTACGAGTACACCACGCAGATTGGCATGCGCATCAAGAATGACGTCGTCCAGCTGGTCCCCAAACAGCAACCCGTGCAGATGCTCTTCTGTCTCAAGGAGAAGAATCAGAAGAAGATCAACTCGCACCGTTGGTTCTTCCAGGCTTTCGGCCGTGTCCTCGACCCCAACGTCTGTGTTCTCATCGATGCCGGTACCCGTCCCGGTGGCAACTCCATCTACCACCTGTGGAAGGCCTTTGATCTTGAGCCCATGTGCGCCGGCGCCTGTGGAGAGATCAAGGCCATGCTGGGGCCTGGTGGCAAGTACCTGGTCAATCCCCTCGTTGCAGCGCAGAATTTTGAGTACAAGATGAGCAACATTCTGGACAAGCCGCTCGAGTCTGCGTTCGGTTTCATTTCTGTGTTGCCCGGTGCCTTTTCTGCCTACCGTTACGTTGCTCTTCAGAATGACAAGAACGGCCAGGGTCCACTGGAGAAGTACTTTGCCGGTGAGAAGTTGCACGGCGCCGGCGCCGGTATCTTCACAGCCAACATGTACCTGGCCGAGGATCGTATCCTGTGTTTCGAGCTCGTCACCAAGCGCAACTGCCACTGGATCTTGCAGTACGTGAAGTCGGCCACGGGCGAGACCGATGTGCCCGACGGTATCTCCGAGCTGATTCTGCAGCGTCGTCGTTGGCTGAACGGTTCCTTCTTCGCTGCAATTTACGCCATTGTCCACTTCTACCAGTTCTTCCGCTCCGATCACTCCATCCTTCGCAAGCTCATGTTTTTCATCGAGTTTGTGTTTAACACCGTCAACATGATTTTCGCTTGGTTTGCCATTGGCAACTTCTTCCTCGTCTTCAAGATTCTGACGTCCAGTTTGTCATCGGATGACCTGCTGGGCACCGTTGGCAAAATCCTAGGCGTTGTCTTTGAGTGGCTGTACGGAGTCTCGCTCATTATCAGTTTCACGCTGTCCATGGGCAACCGTCCTGCCGGTTCCGGTCCATACTACCTGGTCATGTCCATTTTCTGGGCCGTCATCTACATCTACCTGTTGTTTGCTGCTATCTTCATCTCTGTCAAGGCTATCCAGACCGATATTCAGGCTGGGTTTACGATTACGATGTTGTTCCAGAACAAGGTCTTCATTACGCTGATCCTGTCCGTCATGTCCACCTACGGTATCTGGCTGATTGCGTCGCTGCTCATGTTCGATCCGTGGCACATGTTTACCTCGCTCATCCAGTACCTCATGTTGACGCCCACCTTCACCAATATTCTCAACGTGTACGCCTTCTGCAATACCCATGATATTTCTTGGGGTACCAAGGGTGACGACAAGGCCGAGGCCCTACCCTCCGTCAGCACCAAGGATGGTCAGGGTAAGACGGACCTGCCCGACGAGGGTGACTTGAACGCCCAGTACGAGCGCGAGCTGCAGGTCTTTGGCCGCAAGGAGGTCAAGGTCAAGTCGACGCCGACGGCCGCCCAGCTCGACGAGAAGCAGCAGGACTACTACCGTGGTGTGCGCACGGTCGTTGTTGTCGTCTGGATCATCTCCAACTTTGCGCTGGCGGCACTAGTTCTGAGCACGGCCGGTCTCGAGAAGATTGTGCCGGGTGCGTCCGACGAGGAGGCCCGTGCCACGATCTACATGGCGGCCATTTTGTACTCGGTTGCGGCGCTGTCGGCTTTCAAATTTCTCGGTGCCTGTTGGTTCTTGATTGTGCGCATGTTCCGCGGCGTATGAGCGCAAAGAGAGCGCGAGCGAGTCTCTTTGATTTGGGTCTAGTGTTCATCCGGCGTCTCTATTTTGTCCCTCTCGTCGATTTCCACTGTGCTTCTTCATACCGCCCTTTTCATATTTGTCGAAAATAATACCCAACAAATGAAGGAGAAGAAGGGGGGAAAAGATAATAGAAGAGTCCTTGATGGGGTCTTTGGTCTTCATTTTTTGGCTTTTGTTTGATTTCGTTTCTGTTTAAATCGGCCTCGTCCGCATTTTCCGTTTGTTCTATGCTCGATATTTTTTTCTTTTCTTTCCTTTTATCTTCTTCTCTCATGTCATAGCCTACATATGTAGTTACTTAACCTACTATTTTGTCCTAGAATGTCATACGACACCAACTTCATATTTGGCTTGCTTCTGATCGTTAGAATAAAGGTGTATCCCTAGTGGTTCTATGTTGGTATGTATATTTGTGCACGCTTTTTGGGTTGTACCACGTGTATTGTGCGTACTCGGTACGATGATGCCCATTTTCATACGTCGTACGTCCAAATTATCCAATTGCGGTTGCGATGCGCTAGCATGCTTTAGCCCGAAACGGACATGGGCTTGGCACCTGGCCAATGCAGTCCTCCAATAAACCCCCTTAGCGCCTTCCTCACCCAAGTCTCTCCTGGTTTGTAGCACTCCCTCTCTTCCACTCTTAGAACTCTCCTTTCTTTTTCCCTCTTCCACAACTTCACTCGACCACATCCATCCTCTCCAGTGCATGCGTCACGACAAGCATCGACGGTTCATCATCGGCACCATCGCCATCATCGGCAATAACCAGCGCATTGATTCCATCGTCTCCATCGAGTCTGTTACCGGTATTTTGATCTTGTAATGCGCGCGCGCTCGTCAACAATCTCCTGATTGATCGCCTCCGTTTTGGCCTCTCTTGTCGCCCAATCCAGCGCCCTGTATCGCGAGTGACGGGGTCTGGTGGCGTTTGTTTCTCGTTTTCTATTATTTATTTTTACTTTGTTTTTGCTTTACTTGCTTTCCATTCGAACATGGGGCGATAAATTCGTTCTTTCTCTTGCGTAGCAAAACAAGAGTTCATGGTTCAACAGGAGGCAGAGCGTTGTTGAAGCCCCAAGAGAGGACACTGAAGGATCCAAAGAGCGATTTTCAGTGTTGAAACGGAGACTAGCCTTTGTTTCTGACGCGTTTTGCGGGCTCAGCTCTCCGGCCAAATTCTGTCTTCAGCGCTCACACCAGCCTTCGCCCCAAGCCGCCCAACACCCAATAACGCCCTAATCCTTGTGACCAAAAAGCGCGCCGCGGAGTTGCATAACAGGGCCCAGGTCGCGTTTTCTTCAGGGTATGTGCCAACCCACTATTAGTGCTAATTAATGCCCCCAAGACCCTTTACCCCCCACGCACACCACCTCAAACTGCTGTTCCTTCTATTGTCTCGACAACACATCCATCCCCAATTCTCCCAAAATTGGCCGTTGTATCTCTCCCGTTTGTCTCTTCCACCTTTTCTTTTTTCCCTTGCCCCCTGCCTTCTGGCTTGGATTAATTGGGAAGTATGGCGATGTTGAGAGAGAGACCGACAGTCGACCACAAGAAAAAAAAAGCAGACGATAAACAACACATCAGGCAAGCAAAGCCATCATTTTAATTCGCAGATGACTTTAAGCAGAAAAGACTGGATGGTCGAATGGGTATTTAACCCCCCTTTTGATTCCGTCGTTGTCTTCTCAGGCCGAAAGTAACAGCGTTCTTCACATGAAGAAAGAGACGAGAAAAGAGAAAGGGGAAGATGGAGGGAAAGCAGAAAATGCCTCTGGATAAAACAGAGAACAGAAAGATCAAAAGACAGAATCGGCAGAAGCTACCGACGCAGCAGGGACAAACACAGCAGGGACAGACAGAGGCAAGGCGACAGCGTGCGTGTGCCAATTCTGATGCAGCTGGGCTGACCTTCGACTGCAACCTTTGGGTCAACTTTTGTGTCTCAATTGTGCAATTTTGGTGCAGCCAAAATCGACGGCAAACACCGGCACGACGCAGGAACAGACGGGGGGGGCAGGACGGCGCGCCGCAATCGGCGGCCGATCTGGACCTGGAGCCGCCCGCAGTTGCAGCCCAAGAAAACAACTGGCCTGTTATCGCCCGCATTTGCACATTTTGCGACGCAGGGGAGCAAGACTGAGTTTAAGCAAAGGCAGGCAGATGGAAGAGAAGTGGTGATGTGAAGGCTGCTGAATGGTGAGAATGACGGGAGGATGGACAAACGGCTGCAAAAGTGGGCGACATGGGAGGGAAAGGTCGGGAACCGAAGCGGCGTCTGGCGCTTGCTGCTGCGAGGCGGCTTTCCCGTTCCCTGTCAGGCAATGCCTTGTCCGTTTTCGTCTCCTCAGCCTTGTCAAGTCCTACAATCACAGTTGGCAGCAGCCTTCTCCTCCTGCTCCTTCCTGGTCTCCCTTTGACCTCATTGTTCGCTCTTTCCTTTCGGAGTTTTCGTTTCGTGCTCCCCGGGAGCCTTGGCTGTTCTGGTGTTTCCGTTCCAGGTGTCCTGCACCACCCAATTCCCGCTAACAAGCAAAGGTCGACGACGACAGTCCAACTGGCAGCAGAATGGCTCTTTACGGCTTTCGCTCTCTATCCTGTCTATCTGTCTGTCTTCTTCTGATGCAATTGTCCGACTGCGTCGCTTTGTGTCTCTCTGTACTTGATGAGATATCTCCTTCTTGTCTTTTTTTCGCACATTTACTGGCCCAGTGGGCTCCTTCCAGCGCTCTTGCCCTGCACCAACCATAAAAGCCGCCAGCCAAACGTTCCCTGCCGCTAATCAAACTTTCTCCACAGCATGTTCTTGCAGACTCCTGCCACAATCTTGTCTTTTCCTTGTCCGCCTTTGGACTAGCGCAAATCTGCCTGTCTCTTTTCGTTCCTTCCAACCCAAAACAGTCGCGTTTCCAGTGCACGGCCTTTCGCGACAAAACAGCTCTCCAAATTGCGCACGTGACCCGACAAAGCTCTTGAAAGCTCTCCCCATCTCCGTCGGCCAACTTCCGCCTCCCTTTCTAAACTGCCTTCTGGAATTGACAAAACAAGATAACAACTCGACAAGCAAGGGAAGGAAAGGAAATCAAATAATTAAGACGACACCGCGCGCAAAGCGCGTAGGTTCGACGCGAGCCTGCATACACTGAAAAACTTGTGCAAAGGTGGAATAGCTTAACTGTCTGTCCTGGTGATAACAAGCACCAAAGACGAAAGTCCGCAGCCCAAAGCCACCGAAGGCGACCATGGCCCAGCAGGGCAATGGCCACACCGGTTGGCCAATGGACTATGAAGATGGCACCGGCTATGGCCTGCCGCCCGCCGGGGACGACCTCAACGACTTCTTAGATATGAACGCCCTGCAGCACCACCCTATGGAGACGTGGTCTTCGGTGCCGGACCCGTCTGGCGCCGTGGTCGACGGCGGTGTGCCTCAGACCTTTGGCCGCGATTCGCATCATGCTTTCCAACAGCTACCGAACGGCTATGCCAATCTCGTCGGAGCCCAGCCGCACTCGCAGGAGCATCAACAGCCGACACAGCAGCAATGGTCCACACCAGGCTTTGCCATCCAACATCAACAACAGCCGCAGCAGCAGCAGCAACAGCAACAACAACAGCATGCATTCGACCCTTCATCCCAAAATCATGGCTTTGTTGGTCACACACCCGTGTCGTATGATGCTGTCCAGGGCTTTGCTGTCCCTGCGGAGGCCATGGGCAACATGCCTACCTACCTATCTGGCCAGATCAGCAACGAGCAGTGGCAGCAACGGCAACAACAAGAGCTACTCCGCCAGCAGCAGGCGGCGCTCCAAAAACAACGCCAACAGCAACAACAGCAACAACAGCAACAGCTCCCGGTTGACGTGAACAGATACCCCTACGCCACATCTCCACCCGGAGCGACTGGACCGAACGCCGCACCTCGACCGAGCTTGTCACCTGCGCCGCCCCGACAATCCACCCTCACCCCCGATACGATTGGCCACCCGCATGGCACCAACTCTCCCGCGCCCGGCAGCGGTTACCAGAACCCGGCTCAGAACTGGCCAATTCAGGCCCAGCTGCAGCAACAGCAGCCACAACAACACCACCTTCAATTCGCCCAGAACATGACACCCGTTCCGCAACCGATCCACCAGCAGCAGCAGCTACATTCGCCAGCACAACAACAAGCCACCCCATTGCCGGCCCCACCTACCGCGACAACGAATGCCACAAAAGCGGCGGCAACCACCACGCCAAAAGCTACAAAAGTCACAAAACCCAAGGCCACCAAAGCCACCAAAGCGAAGGCAGCAGCGCAGCAGGCGCAGCCGGAACATTTGTATCAGCAACAAATGTACCTTGACCCGCAACAGCAGCAGCAACCATCGCACCTACCGCAGCAGATGCCACAACAGACACCTCTGGAGGCAGGAGCGAACGGTTGGGCGCAACACCAACAACAGCAACAGCAACAGCAACAGCAACAGCAACAGCAACAGCAACAGCAACAGCAACAGCAACAGCAACAGCAACAGCAACAGCAACAGCAACAGCAACCGGGACCGGGTCAGGTACCGTACCAGCATCTGGCAGACGAGCAGGCGTGGCAGGATCAACAGCCACAGCAGCAGCAATTCGTGCAGCAACAGCAGGCACAGCAGACCCGACAATCACCTCCGCAACAAGGTCAGCAGCTTCGTGTCCAGCAATATCAACCGGCACAACAAACGCACAACTCCCAGCAGAAGAAGCAGCTCGAGCAACAGCGGCTATTCCAGCAGATGCAGATGCAGCACCAGCAATTTCGCATCCAACAGCAACAGCAAATGCAACAAGCACAGACCAGAATCCCGCCTCCGATCGTCTCGCCTATTCAGCCTCCGACCTATCCTCAGTCTGCCAAACCCGTGGCGGCCGCCAAAACCGTCGGCAAGGCTCAGTCGTCCACCCCCGTACAAAGCACGTCCGCCATCCCGGTGCCCACCATTCCAACTGCCACGCCGGTACCCGTGCCGACAATACCAGGTGCCGCTCCCGCTGCATCACGTGTTAAACCTGCAAAGGCCGTGTATAAAAAGCCACAGCTGTCCGATGTCCTTCCCAAAGAGATTAAGCACATTGCCAGTACTGCAGAGACTCAGGAGCGTAAGCAGCTCTTCCCGGGCGTGCCATTCTTGGTGCTGGGAAACGTGGTGCATATTGAGCCTCCACTGAGCACGACCGAACCGGCTGTGCTGCCTGATCCGTCCAAAGACCTGGGCACGAAGCACTTCCCCGGTCGCAAAGGCCCGCTGCCCTGCGAGACCATTGCCGAATATGATCGCCTTGTCAGCTCCCAGCCGTCCGAGAAGAAGGAGGCGCTGGTGTTCGAGCTGCGCAGTCGGCTCAAGAGCCAAGGCAAAGTCTTGCCGCCCAAGGTGTACAAGTTTGCCTCGCTCGGCGACACGCCTAAGAAGCCTACCAAATCGATTGCTCAAGGCCGCCCGGCAGCTATGGAATCGCCCGGCAGTAACGAGGAGTCCGAATCCGATGAGGAAGAGGAAGTTCGCAGCGCGACCCGGCCCACAGACCCGGCCGATGCGGCTGCTTGGGACGCCATTGGCTTCGTCCATGTCGCCGACAACGCGCCCACTACTATCAAGCGTGCCGTCAAGAATTTTGGCGACTTTATCAAGGGTATCTACGACGGCATCAAGGAGACCAAGGAGCGCCTCAAGAAGGCCGAAGAAGGTGGCAGCAAAAACGAGACGGTCGAACAAATCAAGAAAACCCTTGCTTCAAAACAGGAGATTTTGTATCGTGCCGTCGACGCTGCGGATGAAAAGGGCCACGACCAGGTGCTAGAGAACCTGGGCGGCAACGGCCCGCTCGTCGCCAACCTTGTGTCGGCCCTGCGCGACTGTGTCAATGCCTCTGACTTTAACGGCAAGCTGACCAAGACGTTGCTGCGCTTCATGTCACAATTCACGACGATTACCGACGAGATGCTGAACCAGCGCCTCAAGTTCGACAAGATCCAAAAGCGCTTCATGACCAAGGGTGACGCCGAGGTGAAGGACTTGGTCGGTGAAATTGTCTCCAAAACCATTCACGCCAAGCCAGCCTCGGCCACGGCTGCTGCGAATACGGCAACATCGGCGAACGACACTATCGTTGTTGCAGACGATGTTCCGTCCAAGACAACCGCTAAACCGGCGTCGTCCGCGTCCAAGACTGGACCTACAAGAGTCGTATCTGATTCGTTGTCTTCAAAACGCCCCCGCGAGGATGAGTCGGCCGATTCACGCCCTGCAAAAAAGTCAGCCACCAATTCTGCCTCAGGCGCACCGCAAGCAGTTGCCAAGGTCACCCCGTCCTCCGGCGCAGCATCGTCCACGCCTGCGGCTGCCAAGCCATGGGCCGGCACATCACTGTTACCCGGCAAGATACGTCCCGCTACTACGAAGCCGGCCGCTCCAAAGGCAGATGCATCATCAACTGCAGCGGACAGCAAGGCCGACGTGTCCAGCAAGGATACAGCAAAGACGTCGTCAAGTGGCTCTCCGTCTAAGCGCGATACAGATGTGCCCACAACGACCGGTCCTGCAAGCAAGGCGGCGCCGTCTTCCACTGCCGCCAACAATTCTGCCAGTACAATAGCGGCAGCAGCCGCCGCATCCCGCGCTAAGAAAGCCGCCGCCGCCGCAGCCAAGGCCGAGCAGGCGTCGTCTGGATCTTCGAAGCTGGGCCTGCTTCTCGACGAGATCTCCAAGCCCAAAATTAAAAACGCCTCGCCCGCCGCTCCCACGCCGGACTCCTCGTCGAGCGAAAGCGCGTCGGCCAGCGAGACGCCCGAGCAAAAGGCCAAGCGCCTGCGCAAGGAGAGCCGTCGCAAGCTGCGCGTGACGTGGCGGACAGGCACCGACCTGACGCAGGTCCGCATCTTCACCAAAGACGAGGGCGAAGACGAGGGCAGAGCTAAGTACCTGCTCCGTGACGCCGGCGACGACCGGTCCGAAGGTCTGGCCCTGAAGCGCCGCCTAATGAAGGGAGGTGCTGAGGACGACGACGATGGCAACGGCGGCGGCGACGGCATGAACCTCGACGACGATGAAGATGACGAGCTGCCGTACCGTCCGTGGTTTGAGGCGTCGCCCCTCAACTTTTCGTCTCTGCCGGCCGATAAGGTCGCCGAGACATATGTCACGCGTGGTGGACAGTTACCTGTCGATTCGTCCGAGCGCAAGGCCATGGCCGACCGCGAAAACACGGTCCTCATGGCCATCTACACCGACCACTCTGACATCCCGCCTACGCCCAAGTCACCGTCGGCCGCTCACCCTGAGCTGGCTAGCAAGCCCGTCAACGGGATTGCGTTCCCGGCCTCCGAGTCCAAGGCGCTGCAAGAGGTGCAGGTCCGCTGGAACGAGGAGCGCCAGTATGGCGCCAATTGGGCTGCATGGAACGCAATCCAGCGGCTGCAGAGCGCCAAGAACCCGCAGCAGCAGCGGCAACAGCCGCAGCAGCCTCAGTCTGTCGGCGGTGCCAAGGCAGGTGGCACAATTACTTCATTCACGGGTGCTCGGGGCGGTGACGTCGTCCGCCTCCTTACGTCCGGTGCTGTCAAGAACTGGCGGCCGACGCTTGACCTGTCGTCTACCACCAAGGTGCACCGCTGGCAAGATTACTCAGATCCGACCGTCCAAAAAGCTGTGCTGGCGCTGGAGAGTATCTTTCTGCAGCTCCAGGGCAAGGCCTTTCCGGCCACCGAGCCGCCCGCTTACATTGTTGACCCGGAGCGCATCAAGGAGTGGTGGACGGGCTATAACCGCGAAAAGCAGCGAGAACGGACGCAGGCTGAAGCAGCCGAAGCACAGAGCCGCAATGCCGTCCAGCCGCAACCGAAAGAGGAACAGACACAACAACCGCAGGCGGCTGCCACAGCCGCTGGCCAACAACAGGATACCGCCGCTGCATGGGCCGCCTACTACGCGCAACAGCAGCAGCCGGCGGCTGTCCAGTCGACGGATGCCAACGCCTATGCGCAGTACATGAACGCATACTACCAGCAGCAGGCGCAACAGCAACAGCCGCAACAGCAACAAGCAGCCCCAGGCGGCGCAGGCGACCCGAATGCTCAATTACAAACACTGTTGACAACGCTGGGCGGTGGATCTGCCGCTCCACCCACAGGCGCCGACCCGCAGAACGATGCACAGCTGCAAGCACTGCTGGCGTCGATGATGGGCGGTGCCGGTGCCGGTGCCGGTGCCGGAAGCGCACAGCCGGCTGCTGGATCGGCCGACGCGAACCAGGCGTACCTGCTGTCTCTTGCACAGTGGGCCTCCGGTGGCCAACAGCAGGACCAGGGCCACCACAATGAATCCCAAGCTGACCAGGACGGTGGTGACAGCTATAAGCGTTCGCGTGGTATCCGCAGTACCACTGGCCGCAGACGGAATTATCATTACAAAGACAGTGACGGCGGCAACGACAGCGGCAGCGGCAACACAGACTCCAACGCTAGTAGCGGCCCGTATAACAAGCGGGACCGCGACAGCGACTCCAACGTGCCCAGCCACCTGCGCGGCATCAACCGTGCGCTCATTGGCACCAAGGCCTGCGTCTTCTGGGCCAGCGGCAAGTGTGCCAAGGGAGACAAATGCACATTCCGCCACGATTAGACGTGCGACTTCTATATACCATGGTGTTTATTGTTTTCTTTGTCATTGTTTCATGCAGCATAACAACGGCCATGGATCCTGTCGGGCGTCCTGGCGGGCCGTTTCTTTTTGATCTTTTTTCTTCTATGTCTCATGTACCACTTTCGTTTTTATTTTTTGTTATTTAATTCTTCATACGGGGTTGCATTGTCCTGTGGCGTCTGTCAAAATATTGTCTGCATTCTCCAAGTTACTCTGATGCACCATCAGTGGTTTGACATTCACTTTGGGTGTTCCATATTTATGTATCTTATCGGGATTCTTTACTGTATTAATGCATATGGGAAATCATAGGAAGGAGCTGAAAATACAAACAATTTCAAGTAGGAGCGACCTCGTTATTTGCAAGCAAAATATCATAGCTATTGGGCGATGGATTGTCCGAAAACAGCAACTGTGACCATTACCGTGTTACACGTAGTAAGAAAGGGGAAGGGCCAAACTGCGCTAGTGGATGGATTCCAGCCAGTCAGCGTTCAGATAATTCAGGGGCGACAATGGGGGCGACGTCCAAACGCACTAAAACTGAATCCGCCACCCAGGCTGCCCACAAAAGAAGGAGCCGATCTCGCAACCCCTCCTGCCCTCGTACCAAAAACTCGCAGTGAACAGGGCAACAGTCACTAAACTTTTTTTCCTTCGGCCCATCTTGAACGGTTTTAATGGAACCTGTTCGATTTCAAAGCAAGCCCATTCGACGACATACCCTTTTCTTTGGTCTGCAGCAGCAGCAGTAAGAGCATCTGGATCCTTGCTCATCCTCGACCACTCATTTCGAGCAATGCACTGGGCCAGTCGTCGCACAATTTCGCAACTCACATTTCACTCTTGAATTGCATCGTGACGTACAGAGCCACATCAGCCTTTGCATCATCGCCACATTGGAACATACTCGACGTGAGACCGACAAGCGGCCTATTCTTTTTTCGTCTCTCCCTCTTCCTCCTCTGCTCAACCCCTCAACCCACCGGCACAATGAGTGCAATCCTCTCCGCCGACGACCTCAACGACTTCATTACGCCCGGCGTTGCCTGCATCAAACCCGTCGAGACCCTTCCCACCGTTCCGGAGCCGCAGCCCGCGTCGGCGTCGCTCGAGCACGAGGTCTTTCGTGACGATGGCCCGACCAACGGCGCCGCCGCAGGGCCCGCTCAGATCTCACTGACCGACTGCCTCGCCTGCTCAGGCTGTGTCACGTCTGCCGAGGCCGTCCTCGTCAGCTTGCAGAGCCACGCCGAAGTGCTGCGCGCCCTTGATGCCGCGCCGGGCCTGCAAATCGCGTCCTCTTTATCGCCCACCGCGGTTCACGGCCTCGACGACCCAGCGGGGCCCCTCCTCTACGTCGCCAGCGTCTCTCCGCAGACGCGCGCCAACTTGGCAGCCACCTGCGGGCCCGGCGTGACCGAGCAGCAGGCGGGCTACATGCTGGAGCACCTGCTGTCTGGGCCCGGTGGTCTGCGGTCGGGCGGTGCGTACAACAACGGCTTTACATGGGTGGTGGACACGAACGCGGCGCGGGACGCCACGCTTGTATTGGGCGCCGACGAGGTGCTGGCGCAGCAGAGCGCTGGCACAGCAGGAGGCGCGGCCCGCCCGCTACTGACGGCGTCGTGTCCCGGCTGGGTCTGCTATGCGGAAAAGACACATCCACACGTGCTCGGCCACCTCTCCAAGGTCAAGTCGCCGCAGGCACTGACGGGCACGCTGCTCAAGACGACGCTGAGCCGCACGCTGGGCATGCCGGCCGACCGCATCTGGCACGTTGCCGTCATGCCGTGCTTTGACAAGAAACTGGAGGCGAGCCGCGAAGAGCTCATGGACGGCGCATGGGACGAACGTACGAGCCACAAGGGCTCCAAGGGCATTCGCGATGTGGACTGTGTGATTACGAGCAAAGAGGTGTTGATGCTGGCCGAATCGCGCGGCATTGATTTCTTTAGTCTACCAAAAACAAGTCTACTGGCGCGCGGCAACAACAGCGGCCGCGGCCGAATTCCCTTCCCCGACCCCGTCCTTGACCAGTTTCTCTTCTCTTCCTCCGCATCGCCTACCTCCCAAAAGCGCCGCCACCCGCCGGCGGCGGCAGGCAGCTCTGGCGGCAACCTCCACTTTATCTTGCAGTCGGTGCTCGCCCAGAACCCGGGCGCGACGCTGCAGACGACCCGCGGCCGCAATGTCGACGTCGTCGAGTACGCCATCACAGCAGCCGGTGCCGACCCCACAACCGGCGCACCGCCGCTGTTCAAAGCTGCGCGCTATTACGGGTTCCGCAATATCCAAAACCTGGTGCGCCGGCTGCGGCCTGCACGCCCCTCGCGGCTGCCCGGCGGTCGGCCTATTGGCAGCGCACGCCGCGGTGGTGCCAGCGGTGCGGGTGCGGGGCTGGATTTTGCGTACGTCGAGGTCATGGCCTGCCCTGGCGGCTGCACCAACGGCGGCGGACAGATCAAGGTGGATGACGACGTCATTGTGGAGCGGAAGCGGCAGGCAAATGGCCTCTCCACCGAAGAGGACAGCAGCGAACCCGCCCCCAAGCCCGGCCCGTTGGAGCAAAAGGCATGGCTAGCCGAGATCGACGAAGCGTACTTTTCAAACGAGGAGGAGGCCGCAGAGGCCGATGCCTTCACAGCGAACGACCTTGTCGACGGCATTAGCCCCTCGTATGTGCGCTCGGTGCTGGCGCACTGGGCGCAGATCACGGGCATTGACCTAGCTCAGCTCGCCTACACCACGTACCGTGAGGTGGTCAGCGACGTCGGCAAGTCAGCTGCACCCGGCAGCAAGAAAAAGGGCGGCGATGCCTCGGAGCACGTCGTCCAGCTGGCTGGCAAGATCGGTGGTGGGTGGTAGCAGAATGGGAATGAGTGATGGCTTATTGGTTTTTTTTGTTTTCCGTGGCTTGCATAGCTTGGCGTTTTATGTTTCTGTTTTGGTATACACGATCTGGCCAAAGAGGAGGCAAAAAAAGAGAGGATATGATACCCAAAATTGAGATCCTGCATTACTTTTTATCATTTCGTTTAAACCCTTTCGCTATGCCTGGGTGGTGTGTTTAATCGCTCTGTAGACCGCCTCGCCGAGCAAACCCAAAGCCGCCACGGCCGCTGCTATCGGGACCTCGTGGTGCGCGGACCACAAACTCTTCCTCGCGCGGTGTGCCCGTCCGGCTCGGATACGGTGAACCGGTCACATCGCTGCCGCTGCCACTGCCCGTACCGCCTGCATGCTGGTGGTGGCCCTGGCCGCCCAAACGCCTCTGGCTCTGTGGTTTTGGAGAGTAGTTTGGATCGTAGAGCTCTCGTGTTCCAGGCGGTGTTGCCGAAGGTGAAGAAGAGAATGGTGCTGTGTTTTGCGTCGAAGCTGCGCCGTTTTGGTAGTTCTGGCCGACTTGATGCTGCTGCTGTTGCTGTTGCTGTTGCTGTGGTTGCCGCCTATTGAAACTGTTGTCGTGCTGCTGGTGTTGACCCCGGCCGTTGCCTTCCCCTAATCTGTCTCCGCGGTAAGCACCGCCTTGGCCCCGGCCACGTCCCTTGCCTCGGTATCCACCAGATTGTTGTGCGTGCGGTGGTGTATGGCTCCCACCATTGTTGCCTCCAGACGACCGTGGCGCGGGTGATGGTTGCCGCGATGATGCCAAAGACCCTGGGGTGGATGTGTTGTTGTTGTTGTTATTGGCGGTGGTGTTGATGCTGTTGCTGTTGCTGTGGCTGTCCTTATTGCTATCTTTACTGCTGCTTGCCGGGAGCGGCTCGCCAAAGATCTTGGCACGCGCCTCGTCGTACTTCCGCTGCTTAGCCTCTCTCTCACGCTGTTGCCGCTGCCGTATCTGTTCCGGTGTTTCTTTATTTCGCTGGGCCGCCGCAGCTGCTTCAGCCTCAGCCTCGGCTGCGTCATCTCGAACAGTCAGCTCCTCGATGCCTGTCACAGGGTCGCGCCGCCGAATCATCCGTGGAGCCGGTTTTCGGCTCAGGACCGTCATCTGCGGCCGAAATGCCGAGGCCGCAGGTAGGATTGTGGGCGCACTGGCTCCACTGTTGTTGCTGCTGCCGGAAAGCAGGGCACCGCCGCCTGGCGCAGCTCCAGCCGACAAAAAGTGAAACTCCTCCGGATTGTCGCTAGAAGGTTAGCAACAACGTAACCTCAAACCGCTGCAAAAAATCAAGGAAACAATACATACGCCGAGTTCCACAGCCGCCGGTTGTCCTCCTCGTGCTTCGCCAACCGCTCAGCGCGGGTCATTTCGGCAGTTCCTTCGCCTGACGCAGCTGCCGCGCCCCTTGATGGACCAGATGGACCACCGGCACCGTCCTTGACAAAGAGTTTCTTCGCCTGCTGCGCGTTCTCTTTGGCCATCGCTTTGTCGGCTTGTGCTTCCCAGTCGTCGTCCCAGGCATTGGGGACGCCTGTATTCTTGGCCATCGTCAGGTGCGGGGTGAATCGGACAGCCGGGTAGAATGAGTATCGTGCCCGTACGCCACAGCGTGCGTGTGGTTGTTTTTCAAAATCAAAGTCGTTGGTCTCGGTCGTTCTTCATGGCCATGTTCAATTCTTGGTGGAGGGAGCGAAATTTATTGGAACTTGTAAATTTCCCATTTTCAATGACCTGTCTTGCCATTTTTAGCGGCATGGCAAGCACCTGTGCCGCCCGCAACCTACGGAAGGCGCCTTCCTTCCATTCCTGCTCAATTGGGTGTGTGATGAGTCCGATTGGCCAGCCAAGCTGACTACAATGGCCCCACCTCTTAAGCCTCAGATTCCTTATGTCGTACAGACGACAACATAAAGAAAGCGGCACATCTCTCAGCACAAACGTCACAGCAAACAACGAAGCGTCAAAATACAAGCCACAATTAACGCAGACAATCAATCGACGGCAGGGTTCTTTCATAGCCTGGTTCATTTTCATACTGGTGGATACTGCAACACAGAAGGACAAATATCATTGACTTGCAACAACCAGTGACGCACGAGTCTCGATTCATCAAACTGGCTTCTTCCCCGGTCACTCCAACTTCAAGGACGATGGACCAGGACGTCACCATGACCGGCGCGCAGCCGTCCTCTTCTGCTGCGCCAGGAACGGCACAGGCTGATCCAGCCAACGGCGCGGCAAACCCCTTGGCCACGTGGAACACCCCCAAGCACCGCGAAGAGGTCGAGGCATACAGACAACGACTCACCGATCAAGGCTTCAACGCATGTACGATCCCACCGCCCATCCGCTCCTTTCCCCTAAGTTAATTTGTACTGACCTCTATTAGCCGACTATGGCGACCCTCTGACGACGGTGCGGCCCTTGGAAAAAATCTATAGCCGGCCGTTTCCCGACGGCACAGAGGCACGCCTGCGAGCGCTAATTGAGAAGAAGTAAACGATGATGGGTTACGAGCGATTATTCCTGGGGATTATGGACTCAGTGATGGTCTGTATTTTGACGAAGCATGATATCATTGTTCTCATCATTCTTTCATGTTTGTAACACACTTTATTTTCCGTTCGAAACGATTGATATACGACGCGAAAACGCGACACTCCAATGCGGAAGTCGTGCAAACCAACCGGCCGAAAAGCCTCTACGTAGTAGCCCCAAATTATGTGATAACGGCCGGGACAGTACGTCTCTACCGAAATGATGCCATGGCGTCGCAAATAATCGTAGGTGTACCGGTTGTTTTCTTTTTTTTTTATGCTGCAACCCGTATTGCTCTGGTTATACCATAAAGCAACCGTCGACTCTCATCAACAAACGCCTCTACCTAGTCACGGTTGTCTTGGGAACAGGTCCCAACCTCTGAACCCATATAAAGCTGTCAAAAGAGCTCTTTTCATCTCCACAATAACGAAAATATCAATGAAATCCTCGCCTCCCAAAACGGCGCGGCGATCAATTATCATCCGGGGAAAACCACAGCACTGCTACCCGCCAAAGCCGCACCGCCAGCTCACAACCGCGGAATGAAGCAGAACAATAGCTCCAATATGGGCCAGACGATATACGTTGGCCTCGCCAGGCCTGGCAAGGCCCAAGCGGATCCCTGCAGTGGCACGTCCGAGACTGATACACCAGCCGATGTCCACCGTGCCCAGATTGCTACCATCGGCTCCTGGCGTGCCAAGTGGACTGCCTCAGCGGAGAGGCGGCGGCAGAGATGGTTGGAGCGGCAGAAGCAGAACGAAATTGAAAAGAGACAGAAGATGCAATATGTGATCCGACGCAAGGCGTGTTTGACTCGGCTCTACCAGGCGCGCGCCGACCTGGGGATGGACAACATGCGGGAAACCGGCGAGCCCTTTATGCGGTACCTTGCCCGCACCTACATGTCCGATCTGCGCCTACTAGCCGTCCGCCACCACCTCCGTCAACAGGTGATGACGCCAGCCGACTATGCGGAAATGATGATCTGGTACCGGCGTGCCCAAAAGGAGTGTGGCAAGTCGGCGGCCGCCCAGGTGAAGAAGCAGAAGAAATAGAAGGAGGACAAGAGGCAGAGAAGACGAAATTTTTGGTAGAACAAGGACGCATTCACTACACAGCGATATTCACTTTTGTTTTTTAATTTTTTGGGGTGGGGGGACTTGGATTTTTTTCCTATTCACTACCAAACGTAGATTGCTTTTGGGACTTTTCCACGACAGCCCCTATTTCACTCAGGTGTGCCAACCTGTATCAATTTGATTCTCGCATAATTGACATCGCATACAATGGATGTATCACGTCCCTTGCAAATGATGACCAACACTATGAACGTCTTTTCCGTGAAGCCATTGCAATATGCTCGAAACTATAAAAAAATCAGAAGGACAAGGAAAAGCGAAAACAAGGTTTTATATTTATTTTATAAACCACCATCTACATTTGATATATGAATAACTTTGAACGTGTGCGGTACGATGTTTATTAACTACGAAAAGCCTTCCAGCCAGCGATGGCTCATAGACCCCTTTCAAATCATATGGGGGAGGGTGCTGTTACGGTGGCCGGAGGCCGACCGGTGTCATTACCTGTACCTGTACATTCGTGGGATAACAAGATGCAAAACAAGAGCTGGGAGACCAAGTTCAATATCAACTGGAGTACGAAGGGAACGAGAGACGTGCGACTTTTGACATGGGAATCCGCATTCTCCGGTGTGTTTATTTTCTGACAGAGACACCGTGCATGCAGGCGGAGAAAATAAACCGGATGGAGGGCCAGTGGTGACACACGGCAAAACACCAATGAAGACGAGTCTGTTTGCAGACCTACAAGAGCACATATGAAGATGGTAGACCAAATATGGCTAGTTTATTTCCTGGATATCAAATATGGCCAGAGAAGTAGACATTCACAGGCAATGGTGACGTGCATGACCACCCCAAAATATGGAGATTACCGGGATACGTTTTCGACAATGAGCCTCTTCCGTCTAGTGAGAATCACGACCACCCGAACTTCACATTTATTGCTTGCGGCAAATATGCGTAGTATCTGCTATTCGGCTTGCGTGTTTGCACAGAAGGAACGACCGTTAAAAATAAAAGAGGATGGGGCTGATGGGAAGTGGAGGGAAGGGGTCCCGAAAGGTGGTGTGTATGAAGGGGAAGGAGCGAGAGGGAGAGAAGCCGGTACGACCATCGCTCATCCCACCCACGAACACACAGAAACCTACATCGGAGAACAGCCAGGTGATTGGGCCGCGACATGCGCGCGGAACGAACGCGGACTTAGGAGGAAGGGAAAGTAACCCTCTTTCTATGATTTGCGATGCAGAGGGATATTTGTCCGCACGCGCGTCATGCCTGTACGTCTTTTTTTGCAAACAAGATTCGTTTCTTCTCTTATCTATTTGCGGCCCGAAACAAAGAACATGAAAATCTCCCGAGCAAGGAGAAATAGATCCATAAATAGCCCCAATGTAGCAGAGATCAAGGCCTGATGCACGGAGCTTGTTGCAAAGCAAGGAGGAATGTGAGAAACCCCCGATATGTGACCAAGGCTCTTTGCAGGCCGCGGTCCACGCGTGCCATACCGCGCCGTGCTGCCGGAAAGAGCGACCAACGGGACTGGACGAGACGCAACCATAGACGGGAGCATTTTCTGCATGTGACTTGTCAAAGGGGCTCTCATTTTGTCCGTCGTTTTTCAACGATGAAGCCCTCTCCATGCGAGAGACCGCCGAGTTTTGGCCTCATCATATTCATCTACACATACAACTCCCATCTTGAATCTGGAAAGTTCCCTTTCCACTCATCAATCCTAGTTCTATGCCGTCCACTCTTCAAAACCCCCTAACGGTCTAGACCGGAGCACTAATACGACGCTAAGACATGGCAACTTCGGCAACGAATATAGCGGGATATCCACGAACCCAAGCGCGGCTGCCACATTTAGCACCAAACTGGTTCTCATACAATCTTTCTTTACCCAAAAACAACTTCAAGACGGCATAATTTGGGGGAATAGAAAGGACAAACGGATCGGTATGGCTTCTGTTGTTTTGCAGTACCATAGCCGACTCCGAAAGAGTGTTTTTTTTTTTTGCCACGCGTGTCGCTCTTTCCTCCACCGCCGTGCCTTCTCTAGGAAAAGAACCTGCCGGGACGCCATAAAAACCAAAAATGGAAAGTGCCTTACACAATTTGCGGAACGGTCTGAAGCTACATCGCCAAAATAAGGAAGTACCCAGCAAGTTCGTCCATGGGCTGCTTCTTTCCCTGCCACTCGCCAGATAAGTCTAGGCAAGCGCTGTATGTCGATGCCCCCACCTCGCGATGTAATAGATGGAGAAGTGGCGAGTGGGCGGAGGAGGGGAAGGAGCAGGTCGGTTGCACCCCGCCGAGTCTGCCTGTCATCTGTATGAGAGGCGAAGTGCATCCCCAAGAAACAACAGTGGGCTGGTCAACGTTACGTCGAGGGCAGTGGGCGATGGGTGAACGTGCAGTCGACCAGGCGCAGAAAGCCAGCGCACAGGCAATAATACCACGTAGGATACGGAGTAATATGGGCTGTAATACGTTCAGGCGTTGTGACAAGCAGGTTATGGTGGTTATCGTACGCAGGCGCAACTGCCCCGACACGCTTTTTCGCCTTTCGCCTTGCGGAGCGCGTCGACGCCAAAAGCAGCAGGAGCAAGAACGCATACGACTGTCGCCATTGTTTTCTACAGCACCTTCCCAGCCCTGCTGCTGTATGCAAAACTAAACGTACCCGCTGAGATGCTCTTGCCTCATTTTATCTTTGTTTGACCCCTCCTTCCTTCTTTTGCTTCGTTCCCTTACCTAGATTTATTCTCTTGCTGTTCTGCTTGCATATCGATTGTCACTTTTCTTTTCTTCTCCGCGACGACACGACTGACCACGACGACAAGACGACGACAAACTACGCCGCGCAATCCTCAAACGCCCACCTGTAGGATAGAACTCGAACCGAATCTCGCTTGCCCGAGTCAAAGAACTACTCCGTGCCCTAAGGTCGACCACGCCCTTGGCTCCGTTTGGTTTGATCGCCATCAACACCAAGCCAACAGCCTTCTCGAAAGCGGCACGACGAGACTCCAGCACCCGATCGAGACACCCTAGATTCTAGATCAGAACCCAACCCCGGGTCGAGCCGCTTGGGGAAAGAGAAATCAGACGAAACACGCCCGGCCATTTCACGAGCATTTAAAACACAATCAACAAGTTAAACTACGGCGGCCACATCAGCGAAACGGCTGGAGAGAGACGGAACGTTTGGCATCCTTTCGCCCCAGCTATATCAAAATGACGGGTGCTACAGTGGGCGCCCATGGCGCAGAACACGGCGTTGTCCAAAACAACATCCATGGCGTCCCGCATGGCCCGCATGGCATCACCAACCACAGCCACGACCTGCTGAGACGGGCCACCCAGGCCGTGATGTCGTCGAGGTAAGGAATTTTATTTTATTTTTCAGTTTGGGACCGCTCGTCTCGCCGTTCCCGTTCTTCGTATTGCCCCTTTATTTTGCTATCCCTCTGATCCCCCGCCCCTGTTATAACGGAACACGAGAATCCCAAATACATCCGCTCTTGTGACCAAAGGCTGGGGCCATCTACATTATGTCCAGACCTTCATTTTGTTTTGTGTCGTGGGGCGTGTGCGTCTGCGGTCGAGTGAGCAAGTGGGACTGCACGCCACCGCGGCTGTCCATATACCAGCATTACGTTATCCGATGTCTGCCGCGTCGTCCATCGTCCATGACGTGTATTTGCCGTTTGCCTCTTGGATCATGTGAGCCGTGGTTATGTCTCTTTTACCTCATGCAAGCTGTGGTCATATGCTTGTGCTGTGCCTCTCCCATTTTTTTTTTTCGTGTATCTTATTGGCGTCAGCATGCCGTTCTGAGCTATTCGAGGCCTTGCTTAAGTTTAAGCATAGCGGACAGAACTGGCTACTTTGGCAGCTGGACATGGACCATGTCTTCCAGACTCGTCGCCAAGGCAAGCAGGAAGTTCAAGTACGAGACCCAGAAGCCAGAAGGAGTCAGAGAACTTTCTGAAAAGAGAAGATACGGCCCGCTCCATCTACAAACGTTCGAAGAGGAGAGAGCGGATGGCAGGTGCTGCACGGAATTGGGTTTACGAAGTGACGGAGTGGCTCCACTATTGGCAGGTTTGGCCTGGGTCAGTCGGCTTGGCCAGTCCTTGAGGGAGTCGGCCAGCGCATACGCTGCTTATCAAATACACCAACCTTTTTTTGGCTGGCTGACTGAGCCAGCTGGGACCTTGACTGATGTTACTACATCGTACTGAGGCAGAATTCAGTGCCTCACTACAGTGAGCGAGGCACTGGGGAGGGATTTGCTAAAATTTGTTCTGTCTGAAAGCAAGGTGCTGAGGCCCATGGCTGTACGTCTTGCCGAGTTGCCATTTGCCATCTTCTGCTGTTCAAGGTTTTTACGAGTTTTTTTTGCTCAACACGCCACTGCGCCTTGTTACCCAGTATTACGATTCATTATTGGTCTTATTGCCAATTGGATTGCGAAAGTTGGAGATTTTGCGGGACTCGCTTTTTTTATGGGTCCCAGGCGAGGAAAGTGGTAAAGTGCCGTCCCATGTCCATGTCGCCCCATGTGAAGAGAAAGGCGCAAGTAGTTGCTCACGCCTGCCTTTTGTCTCGAATTTTTGCCTTGTACAACAATCGGCGACTGCAATCCCTCCGTCTTTCAGCCATGCTTAAGTCTGTCATAATCCACCTCAATCCCACGTATCCGGCCACATGGCCTGTGTCAGGTTTGACGGGTTGGTGGGAAATGCGGGCTTGCGGAATTGGCTGACTGGATGGTGCTGGTTGTACATGAGGATGCGTCAAGCATTTCATGGATCAGATGTGATGCCAGGTCAAGCCATACTTCGCAGACCAGTCCAGGCAGAAAGGAGCAAGGGCCAAACAGAGATGGAAGCACCAAGCAAGCCCCAGGGAGAAGCGAAAGAACCCCAGAAGAGCGACAAGGCCGAAGGGAGGCGTCGAGATGCAGGCGAGGGTGCACAGCTTCATCAGCTTCATCAGCTTCAGCTTGCCCAGCCAGACCTCTGCTCCATCCAACATGCTCTGCCTTTTTTGATAGATATTGGTTGTTTTGTTCGTGTTCTTTTCCCATTCGAATGCCTTGCTCTGTCCTCACATTGCCTTGACTTGCACACAAACTTCAAACTCGACTGTCTCTCCGCTCCGTTGTCGCTTCGCGTCATAGACAGTCGTCCGCAGAACACCCCTCCTCTTAGTAGCTCGACGAGCCAAGGGCCCACTTGCGTCTTTTCCGTGGGAACCTTACTCCTCACACCAGTGGCCACCAGCTGTGATTACAGCACCCTTCGTTCCTTCCCCAATCACTTCTGCCCTTCAGGTGCTCCACTAGGCTCAGCCCAGATCCCAAGCGGGCACTTTACGATTACCGCTAAAAAAATCCCTTGTCTGAGCGAATCGCGATTTCCGCCCAGCAGACGCGGCACACTAATACATGTTGCCCGTATTTGAACCTTTGGTGTTTCTGGGCGCTGCTCTTTCCTTTGTTAGCGGCCGCCACGATACACAGTCGTCGAGCCGCAGTGGAAGGAAAGAGCTACCTCCCCAAGCGTGCAAATCACACCCCGAACCTTGTATCCGTCCTTTGCACCTTCCTTTGCCTGCTCTTGCCCTTTCCACCCAATTCTTAGTCGTCATTTTTGTCGCCGTTTTTTGCCCCTCCTTGACTCGGCCACTCCTTCCCAACCGAGCTATTTTTCATTTGTATTCCCGTTTTTTTCCCTCCTATTATTTCACGTCTTTGCGGTCCCGGCCTACCTCCTCTTTCCCTACTTTTCTGTTATTCATCTTGTTCTGGTCCATTCTGCCCATTTTTTGCATCCTGGGGCATTTCTGGCCGTGTTCGATATTTTCACCTCTCGTCATCATTTTCTGTGTCAGCCACTTTGACCTTGACATCGTTTCTCTCCCTTCCTCACACACATCGCGAACCTTGTCTTCAACGGACGAGCATCTTTCAATGACTACTACATAGGCACGCGCTGTTGTGTGCCTATACGTTTTGTCCTTTGACCTTTTTCTTTTCTCTTTTCTCTTTTCTTTCTTCTTTCTTTCTTTGTATTCCCTCTATATTCCCCAGTTCTTTGTATCACCCATTTCTCTTTTCTCGTTCCGTTTCTCTATTTTTGCACTTTCCGACCTGTACCTGCTGCCCAACATGACTCCAACGAATGGAATTGACGAATCCAGCAGGTCTGCTGCGGCCGACGACGACGGCACGGATCAGATCGGCTCAGACACTCCCCGCTCCGGTGTGGCTACACCGCAACCGGACCTCCACGACAAACGTTTGCCAGGCATCATGAGTTACTTCAATCAGGTTCGTCCTGCATCTTTTAAACGCCTGCTCTCAGGCAACTTCACTCTACCCTCGAGACCTTCCTCTGCCTCCTCCAACACCCCCAGCACTGCCAGCACAAGCACTGCCAATTTTGCAATTCCTGCAACCACCCCCAACTCTACCTCCGCACCTGCATATGCCTCTGCGCCGAAAGCCGCCGAAGATGTCTTGCCGAGCATGACGCCGTCACAAACACAGCCGCAACGACCACCATCGCCGACGACAAATCTGCCCCAACCAGAGGATTCGATTACAATTTCAATAGTGACGGCAGCACCGCCCAAGTCTCGGCCACGGCCATCACTTTCCAAGACCACCAACGCCAGTTACTCCCGCAATACCGAGACATCCCCCTCAATACGGGGCGACGCCATGACACAGCAACATTCGAAAACCGAACTTGAAGAGAGCCAGAGCAAGAGTCACAGCGAAAGCTGGCAACTTGACGAACCGCATCCAGAACCATTGCCAAATCCGCCGCCATTACAGCAACCACAGCCGCCACGAGAACAAACGGCGCCCACCGGAGACGAGTCTCTGCCTTCAGAAAGCTTAGCAGCAGCCGCACATTCGTCGTTGCACCCATATCCGACACCGCCAGCGTCCATACGAGGCGCAGTCGGGACTGGAAGCGGTGGTAGCGGGGGAGGAGCGGCAGGGGTAGCAAAGGAAGGCACAGAAGCAGTCTCTACCAAAAACGGCGCCGGGGCACCGGGTGCTGCGGGCAGCACCATTTCCAATCCGTGGGACGTCCCGTGGACTTTTCGTAGCCACAAGAAAAGCGTGTCCGATGTGCTCGAGGCGCGTGGCCGGCAGGAGTCTTCGTCGTCTACTACACCTTTGACCGGCGTTGTCACACCGTCCAGCGTGCTTGCTCGTCACTTTTCTATCCCTTCTATTCCGTCCCTTGCTACTCCTTCCTCCACCTCCACCTCCTCCAATACCCCCGCGTCTACCCGCTCTCCCTCCGTGACCCCAGGCGGTCCGCGTGCCTCCACGGCGCCGGATACGCCAGCTGGTGTTGGATCACCAGTGGCCGACGCGTCTGCGCCCGCTGCTGTCTTGCGTTCCGCGTCTGTGAGCCAACTGAAAAAGCTAACAATGACACGTTTGAAGAGCGGTCAGTCCACACCGACACGGTCGTTATCTGCTGCCCAGTCTCACGCTACCGAGTCTCATGCCAGCCCCGCGCCCACGTCTGTCAACGAGAGTACAGCAACAACCATGAGCCGAGATGGTGACGATAGCAGCCGGAGCCGCGCTGCCTCTATTACTCCGACCTCGCAAGGTGCCCAAGCACCCGCACCCAAGGGCAAGCTCACAATTAAAATCACTGAGGCTCGGGGTCTTCGGCGGACACGCGACCCGTATGTTGTTGCTGTGTTCCAGCGCAGCGAGCTGATTTCTGGCGGCCCCCGCTCCCCCGATGACGGCGAGGACGCGGTGCTCCCCGGTGTGGCTATTAGTAGCATCCCCATCCAGCGTCAAGCAAGCGATAGTGGCCGCCCCATGGCGATTCCTATGCGGAGCCGGCAGAGCAGCAACACAAGCATCACAGACTATGGCGCTTTCCGAAACCGTACCGTGCGGCGGTCGCTCACAAACCCCAAATGGGACGCAGAAGCTGTTTTGTAGGTGCCCTTCATCCGTTCTTCTTGTTTCGTTTTACGAGAAATACTTACCATTTTATGCTAGTGATGTTGTCGACTCCAACATGCTGGTTGATATCTCCGTTTACGACCATGTGCAATCTGGCGAGGAATTCCTGGGCCACGTCGACTTCCAGGCCAACAGCTCGGAGAAGGAAGGTCCTGTCCGCGGCTGGTTCCCTCTGCGCGGTCACGCTGATACCATTGCCGAAAACATACCCACCGGCGAAGTGTATGTCGAAGCTTTCTACCAGCGGACCGAGCGCAAGCACTACGGACCGGACGACTTTGAGATCCTGCGTTTGATCGGCAAAGGCACGTTTGGCCAAGTGTACCAGGTTCGCAAGAAGGACACACACCGGATCTATGCGATGAAGGTACTCTCCAAGAAGAAGATTGTACAGAAGAAGGAGGTTGCCCACACCGTCGGTGAGCGCAACATTCTTGTCCGTACTGCAACGTCGGACTCGCCATTTATCGTCGGTCTCAAGTTCTCGTTCCAGACGCCATCTGACCTGTACCTGGTCACCGACTATATGTCTGGTGGTGAGCTCTTCTGGCACTTGCAGAAGGAGGGCCGTTTCGAGGAGGGCCGTGCCAAGTTCTACATTGCGGAGCTGATTCTGGCAATCGAGCATCTACACAACAACAACATCGTTTACCGTGATCTTAAGCCGGAGAACATTCTGCTGGACGCCAATGGCCACATTGCCCTGTGCGACTTTGGGCTGTCGAAGGCCAACCTGACCAAGAACGACACCACCAACACCTTCTGCGGAACGACCGAATACCTTGCACCGGAAGTCCTGCTGGACGAGGCCGGATACACGAAGATGGTCGATTTCTGGTCGTTGGGTGTGCTCGTGTTCGAAATGTGTTGTGGATGGAGCCCTTTCTATGCCGAGGATACGCAGCAAATGTACAAGAACATTGCTTTTGGCAAGGTCCGGTTCCCGAAGGACACTCTCTCGGCAGAGGGCCGGAGTTTTGTCAAGGGCTTGCTGAACCGCAACCCAAAGCACCGTCTTGGTGCCACCAAAGATGCCGCCGAATTGATGGAACACCCCTTCTTCCGGGACATCGACTGGGACGCACTGTCGAAGAAGCTGATCACGCCGCCTTTCAAGCCGAAATTGAAGTCGGACACGGATGTGTCGTACTTTGACCCCATCTTTACCGACGCCATGGACAAGAGCGGCTCTCTTAACGAGCGCGCCGCTGCTCTGGCCCGTGGTATCGCCACATCCACCCCGCTGTCGCCGTCGATGCAGGCGAACTTCCAGGGCTTCACGTTTGTGGATGAGAGCGCTCTAGAAGACAACATGAGGGGCCGTCCGTCGTACAACAATGACGATTTTGACGATGACATGCACGATGCTGGCAACTCGTACCACAATTCACATGGTGGTCACAAGGACGACGAGTGGGACGATATCAACGACATCGATCCGAGAAATGCTAACCGCATGAGCGGCATCGTTCGGACAACAACAAACGACGAACACATGTTTGGGGATACTCACTTTGACATGTAGTCATATCTCGCAACCTATCAGACCAGTCTATTTCCATGCTCCATTCCACCGTCTATGCTCTATAAAACCAACTCTCACTAATGTGTCCATACTGCTCTTTTTGGGTATAGCCGCCTTTTACTGCCGCCTAATATCTACCACCCTCCCGATCACCAACCCTCAAAAATCCTACAAAAAAAGAAGAAAAATGTCTTCTATAACCCGACATCCTTATATTGCCCCTCACCTTCTTTTTCTTTCTCTTTTTTGTTCTATATGACGACATTTTACGTGGCCACTTATCTTTCTATTTCCCAATTACCGCCCATTGATCGCTACACGGTCTTTGACTCGAATTGTATTTCGGTATTGCATTTACGGATGGGGATAGGCGGACGTCTTCTACTTTTTTACTTTTACTGTACATGTGTCTTTACTTTCCTCGATCCATATATCTGCAGTACTGTGCATTATACACATACACACAAAGAGGGGGGCATCTTTGGAGACGAAACAATCTTGATTTTTTATTTTAAAAAAATCCAAATGCAAAAACCGGCCCGGGTTGGCGGTCTAATGGCGTTTTTATGGTGGCTTAGGGTTGGGTGGTTAGGATCATAATTTATCGACATAATCTACTTGTGGTTGGCCTTGTCCTTTCTGCTTATTTCTCTTTCCGAGTAATTACTGTCCTCATTTCCCCCTCGCTCACATTACTGTAATTGCTCTGACCTCTGCTTGGCCTGGTCTGTCTTTCGTGTCGTCTTCGGTGCCATTCCCGTTTGTTTCGTGTCGAAATAGTGTTTGATATAAAGTGCCTTTTCTTCGGGTAGTGATGAGGAAGCCATGTGTTGCGGAGGAAGCAAAATTGAAAGAAGAATGATGGTGAGAGGGATAAAGAGACGATAGGGAATATGTCTGGTTAATAATGATAGGAACATACTGATACATAGATGATCACAGGTAACTTGATATTAGGCATTGAGTCTGGTCAAGCCTGTGAATTATTTATATTAGCACGACAATATTTTCCTGGGTTTATTTAAATAATACAACGATTCACCATTCATTCCCGCCCATGACGTGTTGACGACGTTCCAGTTCTTGATCTCTCAGATTTAAAGATGTGCAGGTACAGAGCCCAGCCCGGCTTGAGTACATAAAAAGTGAGTAAGAACAAAAAATGCTTTCAGGAAATGAGCAGAGTGTAGAGAGATTGGCACTGATTTCGAATTAACGAAAATGCTCAGCCAAATGGTAAACGAAAAAGTAGAGTAAAAAAATGATAAAATTTATACACGGGGGCGTTTCTTTCTCCGCTATGACTTTTTATGATTATTCTTCGCGTCGTCTTTGTTTTCAAATGTGTTTGCGTCAGATGCCAACCACCCACCATTCTCATTCTCACACAAAAAAGGCCCACGAATACACATGTCCTTTTTAGTTCCTCATTCTTCTCCTTCTCCTCGCAAACCGTTCCTGAAAGTTATCAAAGAGTATCCTAGGTCCGGTTTCGTTTTGTCTGTTTTTCATAAGGTTGGTTGTTTCGAATGTGCCCATAGATGAAGGAAGAGCGCGGTATTGTTGATTATCTCTCACAAAAAAATTAGAGAGTTGGTAAGTTGAGGGGGTGGGCGGAAACGATCCCTTTCTCTTCGTTCTCGCTCAAGCAAGAAAATGTGGCTTGGCTAAAGGGCGGGCAATGGAGACAAGACGGGTGCTTTAATGGTGAGCGTCATCCTCATCCTCCTCCTCGACGAGCCAGTCCTCAACGGGGGCGGCCGATGCCTCGCCGTCAGCGGCGACCTCCTGGCCCTCGACCTCGACGGCCATCGACTCGTACTCCTGCAGGCTGCTAGCGAGGTCGGCCTCCTCAGGCGACCGCGGGGCGCTGGGCAAGGAGAAGGTGGAGACCTGGCCCTGGGCGTCCTCCGGCTTGACGGCGGGGACCTTGTAGGCCTTGAGCTCCTTCAGATAGAGCTCCTGGACAAAGTCGGCTGGAAGGAAGATAAGAGTTAGCAGAGGCTAGGAACCGCGTGTACCTTTGATGATTGAGCTGAGAGAGTGCTTACCACGACGAGAGACTGTGGGAACAATGAACGTCCGCATTTGTGTGGTCATCGCTGTCCGCGTAACGGCAGCAAATGCCCGGCGGGGCTGCAAAAAGACTATCGTCAGCATGAACGTCCTGTGACGAGTGCATATTCCCATCACTGCTTCCTAGAAAGCATGCCAATCCAACTTTTACAACCGCTTCGTCTTCTTGATTCGCTGCCTCCGTCGCTTCCGTCGTTCCCGTCGATTGCTGTCGGCATGCTTGGTCGAACGTATTTCGCTCAGGTGGTTTTTCCTCGAATCTTGAGCGTTGTCGTCCGTTCCTTAGCAGGTTATCCGAAGCTCAGGGCGCTCGTGCCGTTTCGACATTCGAGATGAATTGTCGGGGGCGGGTGTGTGCTCCATTGTCAATGGCAACAAAAACGTGTCTGCTCACCCCTTTGCTTGGAAGCTCGGAGAAAGCAAAGCCCACATCACCAGTCCAGCAAATCGCAACCACTTTCATTTCCCCAGTCCAAAATCAACTCTGATCCGATGCGCGATTTCGTTTCCTCGACTCGCAAAACTCGTTGTCTTCGCGATTGTTGGTGTCTTTCGTGTCATCGTGTCGTGATGTCGTCGTGTCGTAGTGCCGTCGTGGGTGCGTAATCGAAGAGGGGGAAACCGGCAAGCCGATACAGAAGAGCGATTTTTACCTCCGCCAGAAAAAGAGAAGCAGAAAAACTTACCGCAACGCGAGCCAGAGACTGAAGCATGGTGAATATGCTGTGTAAAAAGAAGAACGCGAAAAGGCGAAACGAAAAACTCGACAAGTTTGATGCCGAGAAGTGTCGTCGGGGGGTGTGGGGGGTGGTGAGGTAAGTCGGTGAAGTTGAGCGAAGAAGTTAAAGTTGGTGATTTGATTTGATTCTTTACTCGGAATCCTTGGGGCAAAGAGAGGAGAATGGGTGAGCGGGAAAAAAGGCGTTAGGGAAAAGCAGGAATTGGGGCCTGGCTGGGTCGGGAAAGCGAGGTGAAAAAAACTGGCACCACGCGCAAGCCACTCCCAGCCTCAATTTTGGCCAGTTCTGGGTGGTTGATTTTATCCCCTCGTAAAAGCTGTTAGCTAGCTCCACTATTCGGCTATTCCAATGCCCAACAACAGTTTTCCGTCAGGGCTCGTGATCTGTCACGTGGTATTTTATTCAAGACTGCAAGACACTATTGACATCGACATATCTTCACGTCCATGCTTTACAACACTTCTGCAACCCTTTTGCATATTGACCTCACGCGCAGTATAATCCAAAAACCTTCGTTTGCAATGTACATAATATATATGTGTGACTCTAAAGGGGCACAAATTAAAGGGTATCGTTCCCGAGTACCCCCATCGCCTTATCGAGTTCCAAATCATGACGTATACCACTCACCTTTCAGTCTGCACTGAAACTATCAAGCATACCTTTGCTCCTCTCTCCTCATGCGATTCCGGTAGCCGCCATTTCTGTCCTCATTTGGCCGTCTAGCTGCGTTTGGCTGCTGCGCACGCATTGGCGGCAGCGATGGCGACACAGAGGTGCCGTTGTTGTCAGCACTGCTCGCCTGGGAGTAGTGGGTACTGCTCTCATTCCTAGCGGCTGCTGGACCCTTGTTCCGCCAATCGTTTTGTTGCTGCGGCGCCGGCTGCTGGTAGTCACCGTCCGGGTGGTAGGCCATATCCGGCTCGGGTCCGTCATAGCGACGGCCATTGCCAGAGACAGGCACACTGCGGTCGACGTTCTTGTCGCGTGAAGGCGCCAAAACGAACGAACCGACACCCTTTGCAGCCACATAGGCAAGGAAAATGACCCCGGCCGCCACCGAGTAGCCAATCATAACGGACTTGGATGCCATCGCCAGCTGCAAACCTAACCCGCCGTTGACGATACCCATAATCATGAGAATACGGCCTAGCCAGATGTGAATGTGGCCCACAACGCCCCGGCCCTGGTTCTTGGTAAAGTGGCGGTGGTGCAGCAGGCCCAGCATTGGCTGGAATGCCATTGTAGCAACAACAACGGCCCCGAGGACCGTATGGGGGCGCGCTTCGCTGACATGCAACTAGGAAAGTAGCAAAGAATCAGTACGCAATTCTCAGCATGGGAAACTGTCACAGCATTAAAACTCACCAGTCCTCGCTGCTGGGCTGCAATGATACCCAGGGCAAAGCCAGCCCACATCAAAAGATAGGCAATACCCTGCCAGGCACCGTGCAACAACCACTTCCCCAAAAGCGGCATGAGCGCCGAACCCAGCGGATAGAGCACGACCATGACCAGGGCCATGATGACAGCATGCGCAGTCAAGATCGCGGCGCTAGGGGCAGACGACGAGACATCCGTGGCGCCATTGTTGGAGGACGAGCCACCACCACTGTTCCCGCCTCCGTTTCCACTGCCCGTCCCACCACCCGTTCCACTACCCGAGCCACTACCCGAGCCGCTACCCGAGCCGCTACCGCTACCGCTACCGCTACCAGTGCCACTGCCACTTCCGCCGCTGCTCGAAGAAACAAACGGGTTGCTGTCGCTGTTGATGGTGGCCTTTGTCAAGTCCAACTTGTACTGAGCCGTGTTGTCGTGCACGGTGAGGGCAGCGTTCTTGTTTGTTGTGGCCAGGGAGCTGCCAGCGCGCCAGGCGCCTATCCATGGCGCATTGGTACTCGTGACGGACAGTTGCCCACTGGAGCCCCATGATTCACAGTTAGAGCACATGACGTTGGCGGTCATAGTGTTACCAGACACGCCGCTGCCGGCTAGCAGGGTGAGTTTCGCAGCGTTGCTGCTCGTGTCCTGTGATGGCGGTGTGTGAAATGTACCTGCACGGGGTGAGATCGTAACGTTGCCCTTGCCGTCCTGGTACATGACAAACATGTTGGAGCCGGACATCATAGTGCCTGTGCCAAGGGCGACCCATTGGTACGACGTTGGTGCGGAGATGCTAAAGTAGATGTTACCGGTCCCCTTACTGGCTGTCGATTCCGGTATGCCAATGCCGTAGCAGACGTTTGTGGCCCCGGAAGGGCAGTATGTAGTGACTGCTTGAGCACCCGCGACTAGGGCTAAATGCAATAGTTAGTTTACTGTTTTGACTTGCATCTATCGTATCTGTATCCAATGTGGACGACTTCATTATTTTGTTCCACTTACAAAGAAGCGCAACCAGAGACGAGCGACGCCTTAAATGTGTCTGACTCGTCATTGTGTATGTTTCTCCGCGTGTCTTTGGTCTTGTGTGTAACCAAGTATGTAACTCGGTTGTTGGTGTTTGGTACTTTGAACGGGCGTGAAGGACAAAAAGATGAGGAACACGTCCAGGTGAAATGCGTGTGATGAATTTTTCAAGGGGCTGCCGTGTTTAAATAGAAATTATGTGCTCGTCTTTTGGCACGGCTAAGTCGTCCAGTAGCGAGCGTGAGATAAGAGACCCTGGGAAACCAAAGGAATGATGAGAGAAACACAACACACTGTGTATGCGCAACTGCAAGTCTGGTTTGTGTTTCGTGGGATCGCTTGTGTTTGTGTCTGTTTGTGTCTGTTTGTGTGTATATGTGCGTTCTTGTAAGGTCAAATGCTGTGTATATAAAGTAAACAGATCGAGCACCTGAGAAACCGAGTTGTTATGTCGAAGGTTGAGAGGAAAATAAATATGCACGAAGGGAGAATTTGCTGTCAACCGGCAATGAGAAAGGAGGGACAGTTAATTAAACGGTAAAAGTGATCGATGTTGTTTTGACGTATTACCCAGTAGGCGTGCAAGGAGATTGAGAGATGGCCAAATCAAAATCACATATCCGGGACGGCTGGTAGGTTAACAATGGTCAGCATGACAGAATTTCCCGTAGAATCAGAGGAGGGAGACAAAGAGTTGTTATAATGACGAGGAAAGATGGGGGACAAGTTGAGCGGCGAATAACAAGACATTATTGAAGCCATAAAAGCTGGACAAGGGTCAAAGACAAGGGTCAATGTACCAACCAGATGTGAATTATGAATAAGCCGTCAAACTGGTGCAGCTCAGCGTCTGTGTACCCGCCGGGATAACAAGAGGAGCCGAGCACAATGATACCGCGCGTTATGTGTGCAGTGCCATTCCGTGTGCCAAGATGGGCTCTTTGTGCGTAAGTCTATTTGAAAACGGACAAACAAGAACAGCCGGTCCAGCACCAGGCCGATCAGTCGCCGGGACCACGGCACTCCTGGTCGTCTTTTTGTCGAGCGATTAGCGAGTGGGATACAAAGTGCAAGATGCAAAGAGGCGCTACGGACGGGCGTTGCCCCCAAAGGCGCGAGATTGTACTAAGGGCCGAAGTCTTCCGGCGGTCGTGTTGTCGTATTTCAGAGATATCTCGGTGGTCCGGATTACAAAGGAAGATGGTCAATCAGCTGCAGATGACGTCCTGTGGAGTGAGGAATTTTTTCGACTTGGGCCGAGCAAGTGACGACTGATACTGCGCGGTTCCGTGGTACGTTCCTTCGGCTGAGAGGCGTACGAGATAGTGAGAGGGACGCAAAGACAGTACTACAGCAGTGTTGCGTAGCCTGTACCAGAGGAAGAAGGCAAGAGGGCAGGATTCGAGATTCTGTTTCAACGGCATGCGTGGTGCTTGCACTCTTGGTCTGCCAAGGAGGTATAATGCTGCAACGTGATCAATATCGGTTGCAGAAAAACAATGACCGATGCTGATCGAAACGCGCGTCCTCGCCTCTGTATGGCGTCGTTCCATCAACGAGGAATGCAGGCGAAAGGAGCGGACAGGATGACGAGATTGTCCGCGACACAAATAAAATCTGCAGTGTTCGGCGCAGCGTGGCGCATTGCACAGACACGCAGGGGACATTCCCAATTACAAGACATAAAATAAGAGGACGAATTAGAAGAGAGGGAGAGGAGAGAAGAGACACCAAAACACTACAACAACGGCGTCAGACTGATAACGGGTTGTCTGGGAAAGAAATGGATCTGCCTCTTTGAGCGTCTCCTTCTGCAACCGTCGTCTTTATATTTTTGGTGACCTTATTAACAACGGCAACAACGATTGAAAG